CTTTGGGGCCATTAGATTCAAAAGTTGCTTCCAACATAACGACGATGACACCCCAAGCAGGGTTGGTTGCCCCCCCAATCTTTCGAGCTTTTCATGAACCATGTTTCTAGCGCGATCAGGATTTTCGGAGCAACCAAAACAACCTGGGTCTAGCGTCCGGAGGCCTTTTCGTTAAAAGATAACACCACAACATAACAAAACAACTGCGTTTTTTAACTGCTAAAGAAGCGTTCTCTGCCGGGGTTTGACAACAAGCTTGGCTTGTTGGGAGCCCCCCAACCCCCGTGTATCGGCCCAGAGTGACAAAGTCTCAAGAGGACCTCCAATTGGGACAGCCGCAGCCCTTGATAACAATGCCAGCGGTCTCTCTTAAATCCTTGCCCTCCCACCCTTGCCTTTTTAACCTCCCCCCTCAGGTTTTCAAATACAAGGCCCAACCTCCCCCATCCATGTGATCTTTGTTCAAACTCACCCCACCTTTTTCACCCCCATCTTGTTATCAAACTCACAAACCTCCATCCCCACACCCCGCCCAACCCTCACCGAACCACCCCCCCCCGCTTCTGCTTCTCCGAGGCACTTGGCGTCCCTTACTCCGCTCTTGGGCAGCTTGCCGGGGTCCTTCACCAGGAAGACCTCTCCCAGCTCCTCCTTGCACACCTCAGGCAACTGCGAGGCTTTGAGTCAGACTCAGACACCCATGGCTCCAAGGCGAGCTTGAAGCCGCCCTGCTCATCTGCATAAAAACTGTTCGAAAGGGTCTGCTCAAAAGGTCTGCTCGGAAGTTCCTGGATCGGGTTTTTGCGCACATCCTCGGAGGTCTAGTTGCCTGGCAATTGGCGGCGAAGTCTTCCAAGTGCCTGTTTTGCTAGTATTCGCAGGTGTTCGGACGGAATCTTCCAATCGTCCGTTTTTGCTCAGTTCATGAATTGCCGACCTTCGCAGGTCCACTTGGGGTGTGGGCCCCGTTTTCGGGTCGTGTCATGCATATAGGCAAACACAAGCAAAAAACACCCCTTCTCTCAACTAGAGACAACACCACTTGAAGACTTTGGGGGTCGCTCAGTCGCTGCACGTCGAGAGGCGGGGCAGCGCATGTCCTTGATGATGGCCCGGAGCCTGATGCGAAAAATCGAGCCGTGGCTTCCATTCAGCACGACTGGTCTTTGCTTAAATAAGGATGCTTGTCAAATGGCCAGTGGGTACAGCTCAAAGAGGTTATTTAAAGTTTGATCCCGGTAACGTGCGGACCCAACCTTGATCCGGGCCACCTCCGTCCTTCCCCAAGCAAACAAAGGACGACCCCCACCCCACCCCTCCCCCAGTGTCGTAAATTTGGCTGGGCGCCCAACGTCCCCAAACTAACCATCGACTCTCGCGAACTTCGTCGGTGAATTCAAAAAACCCAACTCACCTGGCGCACCCTGGCCTCACCATGCAAATCCAGCAGACTTCTGCATGGCCGCATTGTCCCACTGCAGCATATCTGGGCCCTCAGGCGCTCAAGCCCCGTCCAGAAAAATCAAGAAAGAGGAGAGCTGCCTGGGAGGTGCAAAGATCGAACCGTCGCCGCCGTGTGCTCTTGGCAAAAAAATAGAAGCAACCTGAAACCAGTGCTGTCCGTTGCAAACCGAGCCGACCTTTGCCCCATGCTTGTCACACACAATCACATACGGCTTGCAGCTAGGTGGACATCATTGCCACGAACAACGGACAAGCCAGCGCCATGGATGAATTGGTTGGCCTCTTGGGTCAAGGAAAAGCCCAACATCCGTAACATTGTAGTGACGAGGATGATGTCCTAGGAGCACAATTGCGGACTTTGCTGTTCTTCCTGCGTGCTTCCTTTGCCATGGTATCACCGCGCTTCTCAAGCTTCTGCTGACAGCAATTGACCGAACGAAATATGCTTGGCAATGCTCTAACTGGGAACGCTTTGGGGGCAGTTGTTACCAACACAACAACTGTTCATGAAGGCTTCCAGTTTGCCACACACATTCCCGCATGTACCGGTAGCCCTCATATCAATCAAGCAATGCGCGGCAATACTGCAAGCAGGCCCCTCAAGTAGGGGCGCTGAATCTTGACAAAGACCTGCGTCTTCCAGTGAAGGTCAAAACTCCAATGGTGGTGGTGGGGTCGGGCTTAACCGCTTGGCTCTGAAATACCCTGATATATTGTCCAGATATGTACCCTATAAGATGCGATGCCTAGGGGACAAATAAAGGATATATGCAAGGGTCTTCCTCCAGAACAACGTGGTTGACAGTGACGGATCTGTAAACTTTCTGTAAATGTTGCCATAACTTTTCAAGACCTGAAACACGGGACTATTAAGCAATGAACCTTCATCACACTGAGCTCCTTTTACCCGCCCGTCCGTGAGCTGCCCCTCCAAGTGCCCCGCGCTCTTGGCAGCAAACCAGGCAGCCTCGGTTTCGCCCGGACGAGTGGTCCAACTGGAAGGATTTCAACCCGGTCGCTCACTGGAATCCCAGAGTCGTCTTTACCCAGACCTAGGACTGCGGATGCAACTGCACAATACAAGTACATACAATAATGTATACATATATATATACATAATATATATATATATTATGTAGACGCATGTCAGTTGAAAGCTGGTATGAAGGTCATCGAAAGCCAAAGCGGCAAACAGGGTTGCTTGTTCCCAGAACTCACAGCTTGGAATTCGGGAATGTGCGCTTCCTAGAGGCGAGAGCAAGGGCCCAATCCAGGCTATTCTTTCGAAACCAACAAATTAATTTAATGTTCACCCCATAAAAACAACCCCAGTTCGTTTATAGGGGGTGTCCCCCTCCAAGAGTAGTCTGATTCCCCACTAAACCCAGGGACACCCCCATATTCGTAAACAGGTGTTGCCTAATCCGGGGTCAACATTACCCGAGTATAACACTGAAACTGACAGCCCCAAACCGACTGTAACCCATATCCACCAACATGCAAAATGGATTCTACCCTACATATTGTTCGTTGCTGAAATAATTCATGGAGGATCCAATCATGCTCAAAGGAGTCAGGGAGGAGTCAGACCTTCCTACGTGACTTGTGCCGGGCTTTGCGAGGAAAACGACAGCGAAACCAGCTTGTCAAACTCGATCCATTTCTTGCAATCCAAGTCACCCCTGGTTGTACATTCAAGGGAAAACATTGGGTTTCTGACTTTAACTCCCTGAAAAACACTTTTCACGACCTAATGTTGACTCCCCATAATCAACCCCAGTTTGTTCATAGGGGGTGTTCCACTCCAAGAGTGGCCTGATTCCCCACCAAATCCTTAAAAAGACGCACCCCCCTATGAATATTCAAACTGGGGTTGCTTAATGGGAGTCAACACTTCAAGGCCAACACATCGGCACGAGGCCCGTGCCTGGGCCGATGGTTGCGATCGATCGGATCCCTTTCGGCCCAGGGCACTGGGCAGGGAGGAGGTCGAGGCCTTCTCCTCCGGCAGGAAATCCGCAAAGGCCACCGGCCGCGCCATGGAGTTCACGGGGCCAAGCGCCGGAATCGGAAAAATGGGGGGGGGGAGACTCTCAAAATGGGATTTGGTCCTTTGGGAAATTTGGGCGCCTACATTGGTGTTTTTTTTCCTTTTTTTTTCTGGGGGATTCTCAAAATAGGATTTGGTCACCTGCATCATGGGGTGGCTTCCTTTTGGTTTCCCTTTGAACACTGAACCACAAGAAGCGGGTCACCAGCTTGAGAACCACTCCATCTGGTCTCAGGCTCGTTGGCCTCAAGTCTTGCCTTGGGTGCAAAGCCACAGGGGTGAGGTCGGCTTATCGCAGCTTGGAGCCTGTCCTCAAAATTCCGTCGGATGACGACACAAGTGGGGTGTCACTCTCGTCCTTGCGCTAGAGGTGCTTGAAAGCTGGCATGGTATGGCTAGCTTGGCCACGGTTCGGGTGCGACAAGATCTCAAGAGTCGGAACTGCGTGTTGTTGGGCCCGCAACGTCTGCGATTCTCGGCCAATGCTGCGAGCGCGCAACAAGCGCAGGCATCTCGCGGCGACTCGCTACGAACAACCCTCTCTGTCAACCTTCAGGCCTTCAGGCCCCGGGTGCCCACAAACGTGTACATGATATTCCACAACCAAGTTCGCACTGGCATTGTCCCTCTGGGGGTCGTACCGTCATACCTTCTTCCTTCTCGCCCCTTTCAGTATTGATCCCACCAGAAGGCCCAAAGCCAGTTGCCACACCAAAAGATTCAACCGAGCCACCTACTAAAATGGCCCGTTCGGGGTTTTGGGCGCTGCTCGCCTGAGGCTTCTGCTCAGGAGAAGGCAACTCCATGGAGAAATCATTTCGTCGCGCTTCTTTTGCTTCGCATGCATTCGCACAGCTCGAAGGCAGCACCAACAAACAGCACAAGGCAGGACAGCAAACCGCCAATTCATCTGGTCTGGGTGTAGGCAGAATAGTTTTTTTCCCAGCTATCATGCAAATAACCACGATCTAGGTCAGCAATGTTCTAAGCAACTAGCCCTGTGGATGCCCACCATGCAGCCAAGGGGACAAATGGGGTGTGTCTCTCTTTTTGGCATACCCTTTCTGGGGTTGTTCTACCGCCAAACCACCGGGAAACCAGGTTTCCGCACTCAGAGACAGACCCACATGAATAAAATGTCATATTCTGGTCAACCCATAGGAACTGGGTGCATTGCAAAAAAAAGGAACCCCTCCCCCTCACGTAGCAGTTGAGTTTCATTGGCGTGCACATCCAGCAAAACTGCATTCATGGTTCACCATCTTTAAGGGCATTCCAACCATCAAACATTCACAAGTGCATGAAGGAACCATCCTGCCACGGCCTGCGCTGAGGCCCTTTTGGCCGGATCGGAGAGCCAGAAGCCGCGCTGCTCATTGGGAAGGTGATACTGGTGAGACTTCTCAGAGTCCACTCGCCCAGCGGCCAAGGGGAAAAACCGACACTCAAAGGGTAAGAAGCAAAAGGGTGGGTACTGGGCTTCACATGCACCGCAAAGAAACGACGACAAATGCCAAGGCAGGAACTCGGCACGTGACAGGGCCTGCCCTCAGGCGCTCACTCGCCCTCCTTCTTCTCTTCTTCAACCTGTGAAGCTGTTCTAAAAAACGTTCTGATTGGATCGCGGCTGAATTGCAATCCTCCCACAAAATTGATCCTAGCAGGTTCTTCAGATGGTGAACCCTGAATCTATTCCGTAATCTGTAGTGGGACCGCCGGGCAACCACTACCATCTGGCGCAAAGGAGCAAGGACTGACTTTGAACAACCCAGACAAATAGGAGACCCTCTAAAACTCGTTGATTTCCTTCGATGGATGGGTGAACGGTGAACCAAAGAAAGCCGCCAGGTCAGTTCCATTGACTCCCGCAAGGTCCCTAGTTCCTCTAATATTCCCAAGGGAGAATGACAGAGGTACACTTCTGGAGGTGACCCAGTCTGGACTTGGCCCAAACTCCAAAACAAAATAATGCCCTCAAATAGGTTGCCGAATGAACTCCACGTGTTCAGCATATACCGATGACAACTTCTTCACTTGAAGGGGAACCGGTTCCCTGTTACCACAAAAGCCCCAAATTCTGACCGCAGCCTGGTGTAGAATATGAACATGAGGGGTTGTCTCCAATGCAAGGAAAGCCACCCTTCCCCCAACCACACCAAACCACCAAAAAGCCCGGCCTCCCCTGCAGGCTTCTCGGGTTTCTCCTCCTCGGGTTTCTCCTCCTCAGGCTTCTCCTCTGCCTCAAGAACCAAGCCCCGGCCCTGGAGTCCTTGAGATTTGAACCAAAAAACGGTCTCCGTTTCGAGCGGCCCTTCAGCTTTGCCACTCTTCGGCTTGCCCGAATTGAGCTTACGTGAGTGACCCGTGATTTGTTTCAGGCCTGGGCAAGCTGGGATATCAAGAACATTCCCTCGCGCCAATCGTGTACCAGCCAGCAGGTGATATTCCACTGTTGTCTCTCATGAAATCTCAAATACCGCTAATGCGAAACAGTTGATGTCCTTTGGGCGTCCTTTTCAAACCTACTCAAAGGGGGCTCCCCAAAACAAATCCCCACAATATGTTCACTTAGTGGTTTGTTGATCCCTTGCCAAAAGTTGGACTCTTGGTGGAGTACGTCATAAACCCACTCAATTACAAAGGGTACGCGGATGGACAAAGTCCTGCACCAGTCTGGGATGGATGAACTTCAAGGAATCCTCGTCGATAAACTACCATAAACTACCAATCCCAACGGGTGCCTGCGTGGATTCTGGCCATCCACATTGTGACTGGGAACCGTCGAGTTTACGGGCTCCGATCACTTGGACTGAAGGACAATCATTTGTGAGAGACCATTCAACGCGTCACGTCCGCCTTCTCCTCGCCACCCTCCTCTTCCTCTCCCTCAGCCAGCTCCTCCTGAAGGCATACGCACACCGAGCGCATGCAAGGCGAGTCATGTGGCCCTGTCTCCCGCCCGATTTTGGGGGACACGGCGAACGCCCAACAAATCTTAGCCCCCATGCTCTGAGGGGATCTCAACAAGATAAACCCATTCCAGTGTGGCGGAGCTGACCAAGTTGCGGCACGCCTTTGCGGATTTAGGCGAGGGTCCCAAAACAATCACCCCGTTGCTGACAACCTCCATGCAAAGACGAGCTTTGCTTGCTTCCCACATGCTCATTGTACAAATCCAGTTGCTTCCCTTTTTCCAATCATGGAAGTCGACTGGAGGCCATTGAGTCCAGAGGGCAGGCACATGCGACGCACCAGGTCACCACATCACATCACTACAACTACGTGTCATATCTTAGGGAAAAATATGCTAGAAGGTCAGCCAAGCATGAAACTAGCGCATGTGCAATAAGCATGTCAGCAAACAAAGTGCAAATTTCCCCTCCAGAAGTCGGCAGGTCTTCAAGTTAAGCAGGGTGAAAGTAGATGGCACAATGCTCTTTTTGTCAGTAAGTAAGGGGGATGATGCGACCAACGCGGGACAATTGTGCCATCTACTTTGGACCCAACTGTAACGGACTGGTGCTCCAAGTGTCTTCTTGAAATTAGGGTGATGCTTCCAGTGCCCTCACTGGCCATGGATGCGTCGAGTTGTGTTTCTCTATAAGGAAAACATGTGGCGCCAAATCATTACTAGCAAATTACTCCAATCATGACTTCATGTGGCTTTATAGTGCCCCCAACCCCATTCTATTGTAGGCCTTTATGGTACTCACCAGAGTAGCGCTCCAGCCAGCCGTTGGACACACCCACAGAAAACATGCGACGGCGTGACGTTGCCCTTGAAGCCAATTGTTAGGGCTCCCCTATTTTAAGACAATGCAACACTCCCGGCGAAGCATCAAGTCAGAGTTCTCACCACCATTCTCAAGCACAATGGCACGCACCACCATGCCCCCACAGGCTTCACTTTGTTCAAGAACCTCTAGTGCATGAAACAGCTTCAATCAGTAGCCCAGGGTGGTTCTTTGAGCCTTGGTGCCCTTCTTCAAGGTTGGTTTACATCAAAACAAACAGGAAAACCCACCATGGTCATAGGGTTGTTTTGTTGGCATTTGGATGGAACTGGCTTGTATCTAAATTTGGGAGCCCTGAACCCCACAAAAGGCACCGCCGGCCAACTCAAAAGGCGTCCCTACCCCACTTTCACGCGCTCCGGGCGTGCTTTTTTGCCACCCTGGCAGAACAAATGGAAACCCTAGTCAAGAAACCGGCAGTCCCAAGCTACCCCCAAAAAGGGAGGGGAAACAACACCCGAGGCGGTCAACAAGGCCGTGCGCGCCTCGGCAGCCAACTCTGCGGCCGCCGCAGCTTGCCTAGCCTTCTCATAGGCCTCGCCGGGGAGGCGGAAGCGATCGTCTTCCAAGTGGTTGGGCCATGCCAAAACACAACCTCCACCTCCCGATGGTGCAAATCCCACATGGGACGTGATTTTCCTGAGAACCTGCTACCTCTGGGCACTTTTAGGCCTTCCCCAACCCAATGCTTCCAGGCAAGGCATCCAAGATCACCCTCTGTATAGGTCAAAGACCTTTGCATCCCTTGAGGTCCCCCACAACGCAAGCCAAGAAGGTTATCTGCTATGGAGGACCGGGCAACGAAGTCTGGTGCGTGCCACTGCTCGTTGATCACTTTAGAAGATCTCGGCAAAAAGTGCAGTTTTCATCCTTCAGAAGAAGACACTCTGGAAATGCTTGTTCGTTTCCCTCGGGATGATCGAGGAAGCCGGGTACGCCAACTAGAAATAATTTTGCGGGGCTAGCTTCCGCAAGTCGATGTTAGCCTTTGCAGCGAGATCTTAGAAGATCATCCACCTCTTCGAAAAGTGGGCACATGCAGATCAAGGGAAAACACATCCATGCAGGCTGGGACTCGTTGTAGGTTCCAGCACCAGGCGGAAAGAGGGAACGTTTCTGTTTGGGTTTAAGCCAGGGCTGTGGGAAATGACCACTTCTGTGATACAACAGAAAGGGCTTCCCCCCCCCCAAAAAAAAGAGGAGATTTCCTTGTATCACAGTGGGGATAAACCCCGAGTGATCCCACAACCCTGGCTTGAACCCTTTGGGTCTTGTTGCGCCTACCATAAACCCGGGGCAACCTGAAAAGAGCATAGCCCTGCACCGGCCCACCCGCCTCAACTGGGATGCCCTTGGCAACCAGCTCCCGGTGCTTCACAGCCTCAGTTCTCCCGTCAGGTCCGCGCCGCTCTCTGGGTGTTTCTTGAGGTTACCCTGTTTAGGCGTCGGTTGGATGGGCCGCCAAAATGCCAACTGCCAGGTGTTGGCACCCGCTTTGTGACACACCATCTGAGCTTTACCAACAAACAGCTGAGCAAACGAATAAAGTGCTCTCAATGGGTGGGCGTTCGCTGTTCGCTGTTGCCCAAGCATGGGCTCCTGACAGCTTTCCTTGAAACTCGAACGAGTACCCGACAATGCTACCATTCAAAACCGCCAGGGAGCTACCCAAATCCCATCACATCAACCTGCAAAACCGATGTGCCCCAAACCGACACGCTACTCAGGCTATTGCTCAAATGAACGGAGGTTGACCTACCAAAAAGGTGCATTTCACATTTCACATGGTGCTGCCAGGCCCAATGCTCGCCCCATAGCCGTAAACCAGCAAAGCCTTCCTACTGACAAGTTCTGCATTTCGAGGGGCGGACCCCCAAAAAATGAACGTCATGGGTGAGATCGCGCACGCCGCGGCAAAGGAGCACCAAGCGTTTGCTTGATATGAACTGGCGGCACTTCCAAATGGCAAAAGTCTTCTTTCGGACTTCCTGGTGAAAACTGCGCACGTCTTCTGATCCGTTCAAAAACAACCCCGGGTCTTTCCATAAAAGAGGTCCAAACTTGACAGGAAACCCAAAGGACTCCTCCATACGCGTGCCTCTTCGCGGGCACGGGTTTTTTTCGGGGAATCAAGATAGCTTGGAGGATTGTGATGGATGCCCTAAATGTTGCGGGGGGAAACAGGGGGACCTCTATTGGTTCACTTGCAACAGTCCATTGCTTCAAGGCCATGGCAAGGAAAAGTCATGGACAGGACAATTTGAAAGCAATGTCGCTTTTGATTATCCTTGCAGGCCCCGCAAAACATCACTCATGCTCACGGTTGGTTCCTATGGCTGCTCTTGTAGGTTGGCTCCAAATTTGTAAGGTTTCTACCCGAAACTTACACTATTTCTACATGCCGTTGCTCACATCTAAGCTAGGCCAACATGCAGCGAACATGAGGAAAAAGGTCGTTGCGTTGTTTTGCGGGGGGATAAAATTATCTTCCCTTTTGAGGGGGTCCACAACAAAATGCCACCCCCCCCGACTGACCACGCCGGTGGTTTTGAACGCATCACTTCTCCAGCACGTCCAGCTCCGGGCGCCCCAGGCGGTGCCCACCCGCTCCGCGAGGTCCAAAGGCAACCCGCAGTTCCGCAGGTCCACGCCTGAAAAACTTTCGCTCGGACGCCGATTCTTTTTGTTGGGGGAAAACCCCAGGGGTGGTCCAAGTACCTTCTAAGGAGGTACTTAGACCCCGTTTTATCCCCTAAAGCCATCCTCATGAGGTACTTGGACGCTCTGGATGGGAAACAAATCCCACTGGCACAGGATTGTGACGAGTCCAAAGGGATTGGATGCGTTTTGTGTGGAATCCCCCCTGTCGTTTTACCTATCGTTCCTCTGTTCATACTTTCCTACAGGGGTGGATCCACAAAAACCGCATCCAAACCGTTTTCTAGAGTAGGTGGTTTATCCAGTATTTATAGAGCTTCATCCATCCCAACCCGTTCAGGATTGTGTCCATCCACAGTAAGGGTGAGAAGAAACAAGTATTAGACGCATAATGATGTATATGTGGTTCAAGCAGTTGCTGAACATAGCCAGTGGCACCCAAACCCTGAGTGTTTCTACAGAGTAGGATTTGGTACCCTAACATGGCAAGGGTTGCCTGTTGGTTTCCCTTTGAATGCCAAAAGGGGTCGAACATTTTTGGGTATCCACCCTTGGACATGTCCAAAACCGCATTTGGGGGGGGGGGTCATCAAAACATCCCTCCTTGGATGTCCATAGATCCCCTACTAGGTCCTCCAGAGAGGTTAGTCTAAGGGTACCAACTTTTTTTCTGTAGTCTATTTTAGTTGGGGCCCCCTCCCAACCAAAAAAGAAACGGGTTAAGAAGGACACTACTGGACCTTGCCTAGGCTTATGGCCATCCCCTCCCCGCTACACCCCCCCCGGCAAACCCCACATGCTGCGCGAGGGGCTCCGCGAGCGGCTCCGCTCGGATCCCCGGCGCAGCAGCGTGGGGCTCTTCACCACGCAGCGCGCAAAGACGGCCAGCTGGCCGTTCACCTGAAGACCTGGCGGGCTGAAGCTGAGTCTCCGAGTCTTTCTGAGGCTACCCCGGGTAGGCGGTTTTTCTTTGGGGGGGCTGGAGAGGTCATGGAAACCAGAAGGAAAACCCCATCATTTGTTTCAGGGAACTGAAGGGTACACCCTTTCTGATGGTTTGCAGGAAAGCCAACAGAAAATCACCCTTTGAGGGCCCTCTTGACATTCCCAAGAAAGCGAAGGGCTGGTGAAGCAATGCGATGCCTCCTGAAATTCCAATAGTCAAAAAGTTCACAAGCAGAGAATGAAGAATCCCATGAGTGCAAGGAATCCCACGAGTGCAAGTACCACGACCTCCGTGGCTAGCTTGTTGCATATAGCCCGAAGCTGATGACCCAGGTCCTGAATAGGGTGGTCGAGACGAACAAACGAGAATTCCCGACCCCTTTTGGTTCAGGTTTGGGAAAGTTAGACGTGGGCACCCAGTTGACCCCAAGGGGTTGCTAGGTTTCCCCTGAAGCTGCCATGTTGCTGGTGGATTCCAATGAAATTGCCACTTTTAGACGTCCACGGATGAAAATTGCGTGACAATTGAAAGACCCTTGCACTTGCTTATGATTTGTGATTGTGCTTTGTGATGATGCGTGCTTCCATTTACTAACTCAAAAAAGTAGTTCACCTCCTGTCGCCCAAACAAACATCATCACGCCCAGTCTGCAGAAAAACCACCTACGGCTTCTGATTGTCTCCCCCACATTCCTGTCCAGAACTGAACAAACCACAAAGTGACACAAGTTGAAAACAACTGAAAAAGCCTATCTCCGCAACGTCCGCAGCTCCATCTCTGTCCAGAGTGCTCTTTCAGTTCTGGACAAAGGTCCTTGTTGTGGCACTTAGCTACTGCAAGTGTCAGCCATTCTCGCGTGTCTCTTGTCCATTTCGGTTTGGCAGTCATCTTCCCTGACTTCCTGCATTGTCATTGCTAGAGTCCCGGGAATTAGAAGCGCTAGTAGGAAATCTGTGGCAATGACTCCAAGGTACAATAAGTATATTCTTGTGACAGTGATAAGTTTCTCGTGCCAAACTGACACATCGCTAAACATTTGCAACATCCTGTTCACAAATGTGCAGGATAGGTTCACTGTTCAATGAACCCCTGAATTGCAATTTTGAGCAAATCCTCCTCAACTGTCTCTCAAATGTCCATAGTATTGCTCAAAGAACTTCTTCCTTGTAATGCTCACAGGACATGCCATGCACTTGTAAGACTTCTCTGTTTGTCTTTCTAGTTGGGTGGGGCCTAGATACCCATGAAGCCACAACACTCCAGGACAGCTGTCCAGAACTATACTGACAAAACCTGGAGAAAGCAAAAGCGAACAAGCTGAAAACGCGCGGTTCCAGACAAACATGGAGCTAGACCTTTCTCCCGGATAGGTTGTTTCCAGGCTGATGATCTCCAAACTCAGAGCGCGCTGCCAAGCTGTCTTTTTTTTGGACAGCTTTTTTATTTGCCTGTTCCCCAGAGGTGCCGAGAAAGAAGTTGGGGGTCCATTCAAATGTACTCCAAACTCGCAGGAGCTGACTTCGAAGGGTGAGCTCCGGGTACCCGCCTGCCAACGGATCATCCTGGTCCAGCGGCGCCTCAGCTGAGGCTTCACGGAAGCCGGCGGGAAATGCGGGACATCCGTTTCGGGGTTGAGGAATCCTGGGGATGTCCAAAAGGAAAGGGAGAATTCATGGGTCATTCAACCTGATTCTCTGAGAAGCAGGAGCAGTGGTTCAGATGGCATGTTTCATACTGCGTCCCTTGACAATGCTCTCTCCGCCCCCAGTCAGGTTCCATGGGCGGGTCAGTATTCACACACGAATCCATGGTCATTGCCAAGCCCACGAACACTTATCCGTCTGGCAGAATCGTGATGATACATACCCAGGCTCTCAAACACCGGTTGGAGGGCTGGTCATGATCCTTTTAGGATACAACACCACAAGTATATGGGAGTTTGCATGGTGCATAGCTCTAAGTTTTCCGCAGACATCTGCAGCTCCTCTTCTAGGGCCCTTTGCCATGGGAAGGTGACTCTTCTACTATTGTATTCACAACTGCCAAGTGCCAGCCGGATTCGCATGGACAAACACTTTGGCCTCAATTGTTGGCCCAGTCTACAGTGAGTGATCTTTGCAGCTGCCCCAATAAATTTGAAGGTTGGACTGTCTTGCCTCAACACTTGGTTGTTCTTGAGGACCCTTGAGGGGTCGAATTTGAGATCTCCATTGGGCTCATCCGAAATCAAATTGGTCTGAGGAGTCATGACCTAGTCGGCTGCGCGTTTGAGGCGAAGAGATGCCCTTTTGGTGCATAGGTGACCTTGTGGCAAAATATATGGCCCTGATAAATGGACTGAACCCCATCTGCACAAGTGCCATCCATCTCTATCCAAAATAACCCAAAATGGACACCAATGTGTTGGCGTCAAAGGGAACTCACAGAAAACCCCAGATCCAAAGGTCCCTTCTGCCAGCCAGCGCCGAGCCCCAGCCTCTGGTGGGCTCTCCGTGGTGGCGCCTGCAAGGCGATTTTGCGTCGGCCCGAACCGAAAAACGGGTTTTGGGGTTGGCAGATGCTTCAAAGGGGGTGATGTTGCGCAGGGCCAGCAATGTGCGTAGAGATCTGTTCAATCTTGAGTTCTGCTCAAAAACCGGGGGTTCCCCTTAGTTTTGGAGCGGTTTTCTCCACAAGGGTGCCTGGAAGAAATGGGGAAGTTACCCTGAGAAATATGAGACATGGAATTGAGTAGGCAATGTATAAATCCCTTGCGTTGTCCTCGTTTTATTATCGTTTCTAATGTGAATGTTCGCCATCTCGTTTGCAGGTTTCCAGCTCATGCCCACGTTCGCCTCTTTGTGATAAACTGTTTGTCTACATGAATCTACCCCATCCAGATATTTGGTGGTCTTCTTTGCCCGCTTTCTGCTTCTTCTGCTTCGTCTCTTTTGGAGTTGTAATGATATGAATAATATGATGAAACAAAATTTGCCTAGGGCCACCAACAGAAACACTGCGTGGGTGTGGGGAGTGCAAAAGGTTGAGAAACATTCCCAAATCCCAAGGAATCAGCTCGTTTGATCCTTGCACAAGAGAAGGCAAACTACAATGCAAACATCATGCGTTCAGTCTATGTCGGTTGCTCTGATGAGCTCTACATGAACGTGGCCACGCTGACCCGCGAGGACCTTGCCGGACATCATGTCCAAATCAGAAGACAAAGGTGAACAGCACATGTTGGAAGAACTCTAGTTGCAAGGTCCCAGCCATGAGAAATGAGCTAGAGATGCGTTTCACCCACACGAAATCCGCAAAATGCTCGGGGAATCCGTTTTGTATCCTGCTTTCAACACTAGGTCCCCTTTAAAGGGGGGAGTCCAAACAAAAACATCACTCAATTGAAACCCGAAACGGGGACTTTCAAAGTTGCAACTGTCCGCCTGCGGCGGCCTCCTCTTCCTCCTGGTGAAGCCTAAGGGCAAGTGTGGCTTCAGCACTCCTCACCATGGATTGGCCAAACAAAGTCCCAACTCTGTCTTGCCACCGAATTGGCGTTCCAAAAGTACAAAGTTCAGCTGAAGTGAGACTCCCCAAGTAGCCTGGAACCCAGAAAGAGGGTTTTTGGAGAAAGCTTCCTCTCCCTTTAAAGGGCACCAGGGCCAATCTTAAAGTATGACTCATTGACCGAGTTTGGTGGGGAATTAATCCTTGCTTGAATGCGATATGTTTGGCTTCACTCACTACCGTCACCCCCGCCACAGTCAGAGGATGCTTGACCTGGCTAGTTATGCTTGCTGGAACGCTCTTTGGACGGACTTCACGATGTTTTCTTGAAGCCCACGTGGGGATTTGTCAAAACTCCCAAGAGAATTGACAAGCTCACTGCCCAATCCCAAACCTAGAGCCTTCCAGAGTACTCAGCTGGCCTGATCTCGTACAACCAAGAACCAAGGACCTTGTCCTGGGGCATTTGCTTCCCTTCTTTTGAAAGGCGGCGACGGCTTGGCTGTTGAAACAATATCTCTAAAAGCTAAACGCTTAGTGGGACACCTGAAATCCTCCAAAATCCGGTCAAAAGGATAAGGCTGGGAGCTAAGTCTGGCCCAATGATCCATACTCCGGCTGTAGGGCAATTCCTGTGACTTTCACGGGGAGTCCCTTGGCATCGCGGAACATCTGCGAATTCTACCATTCTAAACCTGAGCAAGGGATCCGCAAGTCAACCTTCATCACAGTAAGCTCGCTTTACTCCCGGGTGAGCCTCAAAACAAATCGGCAGAGCAAATGGCAGCTCAACACAGTTTGTTTCCACAACCTTATGGGGTAGTATTTAACCAAACTACCTCATCACGGGATAATGATATTCATAATAATTTAGTCTTTTATAGTGTTCCTTCTCTTGGGTTTCCCTTCCAAACCATCCCAAAAGGGGACCGCTGTTTGGAGAAACAGCACGGCTCCGGCGCGAGAAATTGTCCGGCCCCCGGCGGGTTGGCGCTGATGTCCAGCTCCGCCAGGGCCCCGTTCTCCGCGAGCCTCGATTCACATTCTGCCCGTATGGCTCTTCTTTTCAGGGGACTCTGTTCTGGTGGATTTGCTTTCTGGGGAACCCAAAAGGAAAACTGACGAAAATTTCGGGGGTCCCCTAAGAAGAAATGTGCCTTCCCAGAATTTGGGCAGTCGTACAAGGCTTGGGCTGCTCTCAACTCTGTGCCCCCATCGGAGCTGGGTGCGGGGCATGGCGTTCAAGTAGGGCAGACATCTCACGGTCAGGTCCTTGGGACGTGCTCAACGGATTGCTTTGCCCTCCCCTGAAGCCGACCTGCTGATTTGACTGGTCAGACCTGGGCGAAACTGATGAGGACACCTACCAAAAAGTTGTTCACGTTTGGCGCAGTCTCAGCAGGGCAGAATGGCCCTGCTGTCAATTGCAAAAGGCGACGAACTTCTGCACTCAAGCAGCTCGCATTGTACGATTGATGCTAGCAGTCTGCTTCAATAGGGGGATCACAAAATTGGGTGGCTTCCGTTTCAACTAACTCAACACTTCAAGTGATACAAACACAGAACTGGGGGGCAAACGTTGCAGGCAATGTTCAGAGTCTGCAGGTGCTTGTTGACGCACATGTCCTGCGCAGATTCCGTCGCCACGCTCAGGGCATACTCGTGAGCATTCACGATGCTCAAGAGGAGGGGGACGACAAGTTGGGTGTGCCGCAAAACATGGCACACTTCCAGGAGGTTTTCCTTTTGGTATCCCACTAAAACCACCCAAACGGGGAGGGGTCCATATTGAGACTCAGTCAGCAAGGTATCTCACGTTTTGACCCACAATCTCCAGGACTGAACACCTCTAACTGGTTCTCAGGTGAGATAATAAGGGCAAGGTGAATGAAGGAAGCCAATGCCAGGAAAGAAACGCAGGAATGCGTCCTTTTGGGGCCCCAAAAAGGGATATCCTATTCTCATGTTTGGGGTTGAGATCATGCGGGTGACACAATCAAGAATTGCAGGCATGTTCTTGGGTTTTTGGCCCGGCCGCCACTGTGTCCATTAACGTGACATCCTCAAATTGACCCTCTCGGTTCCAGGGTGTCCTTCTTTTTTGAAAGGGGTAACTTGGAGAATGCCTCAAACAGAATCTTCTAGGGTTTTCGGTCCGAGGCCCGAAAAGGTCGCTTTCTGTAGGACCGCTTTGAGGGTCCTGGCATACTGCGCCCAGTCGATTGAAGCGATACCGCTCCTGGAAGAGATGCGACACCCCGTTGTCCTCGCAGCGGTTCAGCCGCAAATTCAGGACCTGACCAAGGCGACGGATGAGCACTACTGGTTCTGAGAAAACGAACTTAGTGGATCCATTTACTTGTCAACAGGTCAACAAGGGAACCACTCTCAAAAGGACAATTACTGGTTGCCTACTTTAAGGGTATCTGGGATCCACTGGGGGAACATTGTGAGGGTGTTGGCCCTCTGGCTTGCAAGCTCTGGGCCCTTGTCCAGATATGCTCTGGAGTGGTTTGGAGAAGCTGCCGCTACCATTCCAGAAAGGGTTCGGGAGTTGCTGTTGGGAATAGTCTGTGGGCGTTCTTTTGTGGGGGTCGACAACAACCAGATCAGCTGACGGGCATAAATTCATGTTGAGGGTCTCAAGAATATCTAACGAAAAGGGGCAATTTGAGGATGTCACCTGATGGACTCAGTTCATCCAGGGAGGTTACGTGCCGCGGAAGGCCAACCAGTTGCAGGGTGCCAGTATACTCGCTTGAGGCTGTGGGTGCGAACCAATGCAGAAGCGGACACTATATACGATGGTTTTTGAAGCCCTTGTCTCCCTTTCAAACAGAGTTCTCAGCTGAGCCTTACTACACAGCAAACCGGTTCTTGTACGTCGCCTTGAGGCTCTGCACACTGCCAGCGCAAACCATGAAACCAGTGGAAGCCCGGCTGTAACATGATCTCTGGTTTCCAACCGCTGGAAATGATACTCTTAAAATGGCAACATATGGCATGTCTTGTAAATTGTGGTGACCCTGTAAACCCACCCCTCAAAAAGGCCCTCTCAAAGCACACCCACCGGGTGTGTGTTTTCTAGGGAACCACATTTTGTTGGGTTTAAAGGGGAATATGGGGAAGCCAAAAGGAAAATAATCATGTCTTCGGCGCCTTTTCTTTTAGCACAACCCCTGAGCTGAGCCAACTTGAGCCCCTGGCCTGGCAGGTGATGTTCTCAGCTAAGTGCGCGCCTGAGGCGATCACGGAACCCCCTCCATCCGGAGCCCTGGGAAATAGCTTCGACTCGGATTTTCTTTTCCCCAACATCTGGAAGCTTTTTGGGGTCTCTGTGGAGTTCATGATTCAAATCCATGGCTTCATCGCTCTGCAGCGCGTCCTAACCCCGGCATCGCACCCCGAGTTCTTCCAGCAACCACCACTGTAGAAAGTAACAAGAAGATGAGTCAAATTCCAGGAGTCAAAAAGACAATACCAACAAAAACAGGTGTGTCTTCAAATTCCATGAGTCAAATTCCAGTGTCACAACTTCCAGGAGTCAAACCAACACACTGGTCACCTGCGACCTGCTGGCGAGGTCTGCCCATTGGGCTTCCGAGCCCAAGTGCATGCACCCGTTCGCGTGGATCTGGTTGTCACTCAGATCCAAGGCCTGGCGAAGAGTTGATTGAAATAGACATCGGCACAAAAAGCTTATATATGATATGTATATTATATCTATAATATATATATATAATATGTACTCTATATAATATAGATGGGTGTGTCTTAAAATAGGGGACCCACAAACTGGGTGCCGTCATGTTGATTCCTACAAAAAAAACAGAGGAAGAAGAAAAAAAACGTGCACTCCCAAGAAGACACACCCATCGTGACACCCCCCCCAGCTATGTACACCATGTGCTTTCCTGGATCCCTTGCTGAAGTTGCAAACCCCCTCTGGAGTCGGAGGCGTCTTGTTTGCCTTGCGAGAGGGGAGCTTGAAGGTTTCCCAAAAGCCCATGCACTCTACTGTGGATGGACGAAATCCTGCAGCACCTAAGAAACCATGGTTGAAACCATTGTTTGTTGGTATTTACAGGGGAGTCATCATTCCTGGGTTTCTTTGGTGGTGCACCCCGCAAAAAGGGTGGAACAATATCCCAAATGCCACCGGAAGCGTCCTAAAATATTCATACCCCAAATAGGGGCCCCACTGACTGCTTCCCAAACGCACCTGGATAGCCATGCTACAACCCCAAAAGAGAGATTCCTCTAAAAACGGTTCAGTTTTCTGGGTCCCATGTTGATCAGGGTGTACCAACGAGAAACCTGGAGGGCAGGCATCGACCCTTATATTTGTTCGAGGAAGCCTCCAAAAACCTGCACCCAAACTGAGCCAAACCCACAGTAGCCAAACCCACAGTTGGAACACGTTGGAAGAAGGGGGAGAAAACAAAAGCACCCAAACTCAACCGAACCCCTGGCATTTGGCTGGGCCAACCACGTTGGAACAAACCACCTTGAACAAGTTGGGGAAAAAAAAACAAAAAGACTTCCCGCCTGGAGGCAATAATCCGAGTCCAGAAGGGAGGCCAGTCGCCTGGCCCCTCGATCGCCGATCTTGTTGTGACCTGGGCAGCTGGGATACCGGGCCCCTCATCCCAAGGTCCTCCGCACCCAGTGCGTGCCTTCACTGCGCTTTTTTGGCAAATGTGCCTACTCCCCCTAGTGTATGGACATGACTTGCACCCCCCCCAAAAAAACAACAACCCAAAATCAGCCATCTGCCTTCCGCCCGGCAGGAAAAAACAGGTCGGAGCCCTGGGAGAACGCTGGGGGCGCCCACTGAGATCGAGGTGCGTCAGCATATGGCCGTATGACAGGCCACCCATCAGCACCTTCCGATCGGATCTCGGAGATCTCCGGGTCATGGCTGCAGAGCAGGTGGATGCCCCAACAAATTGCAGGTGAACCAACCACAGCTAACCGCACCATCCCTGGCAACGTACGGCAAGATAAGGGGATAAGTTATTAATGAGCCCCTTCTTCCCCTATAAATACGTGACCACATGTGGTGTCATTCCCAGGGTTTCCCTTGTTGCCCGGGGATATTTAGCGCATCCACGACACAAAAACACCCGATCACTCCAAGGCTTTAGGCTTCGGTTAGTTGTTGTTTGGGTTTCTGTTTAAAAATATCAAAGGCGAGTAGTTTCAACTAATTATGCTTAAGGTTTGTGGTTCGTGCCCCTCTTGTTTCAGAAATACTTGCTCACCACACCCAGGTCGGTTCAACATCTGCGTCGGCGCTCGCCTCATGGGCCAAGTGTCTGGCATAACATTCAAAACATTATGTGGCGGCACACAAGTGGCATAACACAAGTGGCATAACATTCACAACATCTGGCATAACATTATTCGCTACATTACATGATGTGGCGCTTGCTCCATACCTCCCCTTCGCTCCGGTTGTGTGGCGGCTCCCTTCATAGGCCTTGACCAACTCATCGTCGATCATATTGCACCTGGGCTGGCTCACGACGGCTCAAGCCGACTGCTTGACTCCAACTCGACCCTTAAAACAGATCTCTGTCTATGGAAGCGCCCTTCGTGTCGGCAAAAACACCACTGGCAGAGCTTGAAGGAGTCCGGGTGCCTCTGACTCCCATCTTCTAGATAACTGACATCATGCTGGATCAGCCACCTGAACTTTCTACTGAAGCTACCCTGGTACTCTGAATCGCCTTAGAACTCCATGCGCCATGTCTAATTGCCTGGCATGCGGATTCAAGCTGACAGAGACCCAAGAGCCTTCGTCCCGAAAGGCGACCCCTGAGGGTGGCCCAACAGAAAACACATTTGAAGGAGTCCACCTGAGCACCAATAACTCTTGCTTCCACTGACATGGTCACGAAGGTTGACAGAGGCTTTATCATAACCCCAATCAAACCAGGGAGTAGAACTACCTAAAATGGCCAGCAGGGGGCTTGTGCGCTCAATCTTTGATACACGTGAGGGCGCTCAGAAACCGCCGGCTCAAGTCCAACCGCTGGCTCACCAACCCCCCCCACCAATCCCTTCTGCGGGGGTGGCTTCGAATCAGGTTTGAATATTTCCCATGCGTGGTTGAAACATAACGCCAGTCGAGCCAATCCCCTTTGGCCCACCTTCAGTTGAGCTTCTCCTATGCCTCAAGGACACATGCTGTGGACGAAATCCTGCACCACCTAAGAAAGCCTGGAATGGTGATTTCCCGCAAATAAAGTAACAAACAATGGTTTCAACCGTGGTTTCATTTCGTTTCTAAGTGGTGCGAACGGATTTCGCATCCAATCCACGTGGCACTGAGTATTTGAAGCTTTTTGGTCTTTGGATTTCATCCAGCGGAGTGGAGTGCTGCCAGGTGGCGGCAGGGACAGGGACACCAGGGTCTGGGACACCCGGATGTCCCGCGCCAGGTACTGCGCCTCGATTTGCGTCTTGCGTCGAGCGGCTTCCAGAGATGGGAGTGAACGAATAGGAATGAGCCCTCCATAAACCTTCCCAAATGGAGTTGGTTGCCTTTAAGGAAATCCCCAAAATCATTTTCCCGATTTGTGTTTCCGATTTATTCGTGGAATCCAACCGAAACCGGTTCATTCGCAACACCCGGAAGGTCATTCCCTAAAGATTGCAAACCCAAAACTCCAGGTTCCGGAAGGCGGTTTCTGAATGGGTGAATGGCAAACACCTTAGAACCGGATCTTTCGAGCTGGGCAAAGGCACGCAGACAAACTTGCAGCCAACACTTGATAAGAAACATGTGTGTTGTTTTAGAGGCAATGATGCAGCCAACACTTCAAGGACACACAACAACAATGCTTGGGCAAATGTCTGTAATCCCGCGAGCGGAAATAAGGGAGCCCCCGTGAAGGACCTTCAACATGGGTGAGCTCGTTTGACCCCTGGTAAGCCCGTTGTCATGCGCCCAGAGGGAAATATGTCCTTTCTTTTGAAACGACATGCCGATCGCCTTTTTCCCTGGAGGAATCCGTCCGTTTCTCAGAACGATGGGATGGAAGGATAAGCTACCCTCCTGTCCACCAGCATGAAACCTGACTGAGGGGTCCTCTCATTCCCCAATTGATAAGAAGTCCTGCAAAGAACAAGGCCCGCCCGTGAAGTCTGATAGGCTTGGGTTGGAACGACCTAGCAAGAATGTGAGTAGGGATAGTCGTCAACCGTTGAACAATACTTCTGATTGCCACGAGAACCATAAGGACCGGGAATTCACAAGCAAAGAATCGTGTGTGGCTACAGCATCAACCCCAGCCTCACATATGCCGGCCCTCAAAAGTACCGCAGTTTGAAGACTCTGCACCAGCCAACTCATCAACAAGGTGGAATTGTCCTGGGCCCCGCAGTCTGGGCAATAACTGGCTTCAGCTTGAAGGAATTCTCGGGGCCTGTTCTGCAATCCCTCTTTAAGCAACAGCCTTGCACCTACTTGATGGCTGATGGTAGGGCCTATTATTTACGTGTCTTGCCTCCAGGACCCCTTGCTGGACAGGTTGCACTTCTTGGATCCTTCAAGTTTCGTTTTGGGAAAGACACATCCGTCCACTTCTCACACTTGGAAGGCTGCTTCGTGAAGCTTCGTAAACCTCCCGACTTTGGGCCCGCACGTCTGAGATCTTCATGCCGAACATGGCCCGCTCGTAGTCCATGCCGAGGCGTTTGTTGCCATAGGTGATGGAGAAGGTGCACCTTGTTGAAACTCTGCGGGTCGATTCCCCCGTCTGTTCAATCCGTGCTCCTTTCAATAACCATGAGTGCACCATGAAAAAGAAGCATCTCTTGAAAGAAGGGGGAAGTTACTACCTCGGAACTCGTTGCCTCTTCTCCGTTCTTGCCCGCTCTATCACTCCGCCACATACTTCGATGGCGCCTCCCCAAGTTTGAGGAAGATCGACTCGGGCCCGGGGAAAGGGGTCCGGCTTAAACATGGCCGGGGTCCATGGCATAGACTCCGCCGAGGAAGACCTTCAAACGAAACGGCACCCAAGGGACGTTCAGAGGAACTCGGTGGGTGTGGATTCGCAAGCCGAAGCCATCTGTGGCTCCGGCAGGGCCGGCAAGGCATCGAAGATGAAGCTCAGATCCTCCGTGGGACTGGCGGACTCCCAAACACGGCGAGCGAAGCAAAGGGCCCGATCCATGGGGCACAAAAGAACCAGCGGACGCAGTCCATGCTGCACAGTCTGTTTGGGTTGGATTTCACGGGTCACATTTCGGCAGAAACACATGAATGTCCATGGTCCGATCGCCGGAATCTGGGCATTACCCCATGAACTGGTGCCTTGATCTTTCCGAAGGCTCGCTCTCGAGCCGATCAGAGGGCCCAGCCAAGTGCGATGGGAACTGAGTGATGTGCAGCTGGTAGATGTACAGCCTCGTGCAAAGCTGGCAGGCACGAGACTCAATGCCAGCCTACTTTTGAAGTCTGGCAATCAAACAAGCCGAAGTTTGGGTAAGAGATGGAAAGAGCGGGGACGGAAGCGAACTCCTGTAAGCGCAAATTTCCATCCCCGACCGAGTCTTCCATGCTCCCTCCTTATCCCTGCCTTCCCCTGAGTTTGCCCCCGGGACTGTGACACCACTACAGGAATCCCAAAGAGAATCCCAAAGACAAATGATCCCCTGAAAAAGAAAGGGAACTTCTGATATCACAGACGTGGGGGCGCTTTGCTGCACAACCCTTCTGCATCGCTGCTTTCATAAGCCGCAGTTCCCTTGCGGGACACACTAATCAACATCTGGTAGGGTCTATTGATTTGGACCAACCCACCAAAATGGGCGACACCCAAAAGTATGGTTTGCGTTCCTTCCCTCAAAGCGGTTGCTATGGATGTAACTGGCTTGGCTTCTCTGCGAGGGGCCTCGACGCCATCACCTGCTGCTTCAACATCTCCAGCTCGGGGTTTCCATACCTCGGGCGCTGCGGCGGCGGGAAGGCCCCCTGAACCAAGACTCAGAACAACACTGAAGGGTGCTAGGGGGGATAGGAGCAGCTTTGTGACTCACCATGAATTTCCTGAAATTCAAATGCGTCAGCTGAGGTTGGACCTTGGTTGCCTTCCTTTGTGGGACCAAGGAAGATTGCTTCTGTCCCAGCAGTTGCCACTCTAGCCACTCAGCAGGCACACAGTGTGTTCTTCTGGTTTTCCATGATGGTTTGCTCTGATTACCCACCAGAACGGTAAGTACGAGCACTGCGAAGTGTGCTTTTTGCCTTTAGCCTCGGACTACCGGACTTTGCAGGCTTGATGAAAGTGCGGTCAGTGCTACATGCCACACAAATGGTGGTTGGCCTGCTGGCCAAGCAAGCAACCGTCAAAACAAGGAGGTGGCATGTGAAAACAATCCTTGTTAAACCACAAGTGGCTTGTCGAAAATTTTGGCGGGCGAAGGGGTGAAACCTCCCTTTGGATAGTTTTGCAAGGGACCCAAAAGAACACCCACAAGATTTTGCATCCGCGCTCCAAGGAGTTACTTTATTCAACAGCCCCCTTGCTTTGAAGCCCAGATCAAGGCCATCTGCCTGTCACCTTGACATCCTTGCCCTTTCGCTTACCATCTTCAGTGGGCACCAAACAAGGGACACAGGGTGCCACTGGACTGAGCACATCCCCTCCGTTCTCTTCTCAAGCCAGGCCCTCTCTCTCCAATCTCCCCTGACAGCAAGCGAGCCCCGCTTTATCTGCCAAGCGACTCTACAGTGATGGGCACCCGTTCCAGGGCTTCCTGCAACTCCAGCCTGGGCCAATTGCCCAAAACGGCCAGTGGTCCGTGGTCCCGCATTTTTGGGGCTTCTGTCAGCCTCAGGCGGCCAGTGGCTTGGCCACTGGTGCAGGTGTTCCGGGCGTGTTCGAAGCCCCGTTCGGAGATTCGGATGAGCGAGGGGGCACTCTGCCATCCGATCCCAACGCTGGTTCCGACAGTAGCAGGGCGGCTCCAAAGATGCTTTCACCAGGGTAAAAAGTTGGTCCCTCAAAAGCAAAACCAAAGGGCACCAAAACATACTCTTCTACCCTGTGGATTGGTCATCGTAAGGCTCGGAGCAACCATGACATACGTTGTTCATGGGGTGCTGGGGGGCAGGAGGGGAGGGAGCCCCTCCCCTCTCTCCCCAGCCCCCATGAGTAGTTGTGAACACAAGATTGACGTTTCACTCACATACACACACACATGTACACTGGCAGTAGATGGCACGATTCCCTTTTGTTGTGGGTAAAGGGATGACGAAACCAACACATGGTCACATGATGGAGTTCTGTCATCTACTTTCACCCTGCTATCACTAGAGTGGGTGTGGGATTGGGGCATAAGTCGGCATAAGCCCCCAGCTCCAAGTAGGTCTGCTTCCAGGACATCCCGTGCCTCGGAAAGCGTGAAACACGCTCATCAACTGAGCCTATGAGACAAAGGCAGAGCTGCGGAGTGGATCCAACAAAACTTCCACATGTTGAAGGGGCTTTACCAAAATGATGGAGAAACCAAGGAACAAGAAGTCAAAGTTTGGCAGCTGCAGAGGCAAGGTTGAGAAGAAAAAAAACAGAAGAAACTGGGTATCGATAGGTTTGTGTTGCTTTCACGTTGGTGGCTCCTCCTTTTGTTTCTAGTATGGCGCCAAAAACGTCTATGGTGCCAAAAACGTCAAGTTTTTGTGGTGTGATCTGTGCCTGTTCCAGAATTTCAGAATGTATGCCCACCGTGTTGCCACAAAAGGCTCCTACCAGCTCAAACAGTTGCGTCTTATGTTCGGCCAGCCTCTGGAAACCTGATCAGCCGTCAACATGTTGCGCTGTTGATCGAAGATTTGCAGAGCTTGGCACGGGCTCCTTGTCAGGCTGCATCCCATTGGAACAGAATGCTCAACCCACAGGTGCTTTCGAATTGCCAACTTGTTGCGGTCCTCGGCTCTTTCCTCGAAAATGCGAGCATCCTTCAGAAACGGCCAAGGCCTCTTTTGCCGTCCAAGAAGCGGTCCCTCTTTCCTTTGGCCAGGCTTAGCACTGCAGAAAGTTGACTGTTTTCTGGTGACACAAGCAAAAACGAAGGAACCCAAAATTAGCAAAGGGCAAACAACTAAGCCAAGTCTCGCCAATTCCTTTTGGATGCCTGTCCTTCCCCCTTTGGCACCGGGGCCCCAGCTTTTCTACTTGCGCGTTGGGGTGCTTCGCCTGTGCTTCATGCGGAGCTTCAGGACACCAACCGGGCTTTCCTTTCAATCTCCCCTTCAAAGCGACCCTAAAAAGGCGACCCTCAACAAACACGCATCCATGTTTGCTCGGAATGTCAACTACTTCAGTGAGAAACACAAAACGCAAGTCCCATGGTTGTTTGCAGCAGCCTCTTGATGCATCCCAAGTCAAACCGCGCAAGATCGAACCAAGCTGAGCCAAAAGAACCCGGAAGACCACCCAAAGGCTGACTTGCAGGTGCGCCAGCGTGGTGAATTTTCAGCTGGGACGTGGCTTGAGGCTCCCCGTTTACACAATTCGGCCATCCAGACTGAGAGGTGCTCTGATAGCCAAGACTCCTTTGCTGTCATCAAAAAACAAGGCGGTGTTATTTCAATCTACCGCGCAGCTGCTTTCATGTTTCCCCTGCTCCCACTAACATAGAATCCACCAGAAGGCTCCAGCAAGAGGAACCCTGTCTGCCAGGATAGTGCTAAAAGAGCACAAATCTGAACAAGGCCCCCAAAGACTTCCAAACCCCAGAACTGTGCATGACAAGGGATCCCGCGCGCGTTGCTTTTGACAGGTGCGAGGCTGAGGTGCCCTGTGCAAAGGGATGTGGCTGTGAGTCAAAACCAATGATACCATTTGGGGGTAGGTGCACTAGTCTATTTTAGTGCGGATTGGGATGTTCACTGGGGGTACGGGATTTTGACCCATGGCCATATCGCAAAAAAAGAAGAGGACAAACTCCTTTCATACTCGCAGGCTTTCGGATCTTTCGCATGTTTCACCAAAAAGCAAGGCCGAAAAGCGGGGATTGGAATCAAGGCAAACTTAGGAAAATCGCCCATTTGGGGAGGCCTTATATGAGCCCTTTATGCATGAGAGGCGTTTCCAAGAGCGGACATGCGGCACGTGTCGGTTTCAGAGTCTCTCCAGGCGAAGGTTTGAGCAGCATGTTTTTACCACTCGCCTAAGTCCAAACAGCAATTTTAATGTGGCAAGTCAACAGTTGATCGGTTTCGAGTACGCGCCGCAACTATAGTAAGTCTCAGGTTTTGCCAGGTCCGCTTTGGGGCACACCAGCTTCTGGAAAGGGGAAGTCGTGTGCGAGGGTTTCAGGGCCTGCGTCCGCCGCTTCCAGTAGTTCTCGTCGTTGATCCTGCCAAAAAAGAGGAACTTGGAACTTAATGATGAGGAACCTTCACTTCGACATCTGCTTTTACCCGTGTGCAAACAATTGCTGTCCAAATGCAATCGTTGGGGATTGCTGGCTGCGGACGATGTGTTTGTTTCAAACCGCCTGAAACTCCATTCTGCATACCAAGCAAGCAGTCATACACTTTTTTTAAAAGACCCTTTCATTCAACGACCTAGTGACAGAGAATAAGCAGGCCAGAGATACGAGTCGGTTCTCCCAAGTTGCTGGTGTATTGTCGCTTTCAGAATCTGACTTCGCGCAAGCCAGGGAAAAACCAAGATGAGGATTGGGGAAAATAACTTTTGGAAATGGAATCCTCTCAGCCCCGACCTCTGAGGTCTGATCTGTCGGATTTCACATGGCTTCGCGCCTAATGCGCCTACTTCCTACATGGCGGCTTGCAACTTGCTTTAGGCATGGCTGTTTTGGGGAATACCCTATGGCTTCGCTGTGGAGAAGCCAGCGCTGGCGCCGAGAACCACATGATCCGCACAATCTACCCTTGCCGGCTTGCCAAAAAACATGTTTAACGTCAACCCCGGGCGAATAGGGGGGGGTATTTCCCCAACAACGTGCAGGACTTTCCTCTTATGGGACAACCCCAATCAAAATCAAGCAGGGGGTGTCGATGCCGGATTCACCAACCTAGTCTTCCCCAGCAAGTGAAGGAGAGGTATTGTCCTATTTTACCAACCAGGGATCTGTTCATCCCGGTTTCCATTAAATGGACCCCACAAAGGATGGGGCACATTGGGGGGTTCTTTTAAAGGGTTGGTGCAAGTAGAAACAAAGCTTCCCCTCAGTCCAAATTCCTTAGTTCAATCCGCGCACCGAATGTTCGAGGTCGTCCTGACAGCTGCCTCAGGCAAAGGCATGTCCAGGTCCAGCATGGCATAGACATCCTGCGAATGGGGCTAAATGCCTTTTAAAGCACGGCTTCAAACCGCGGAAACACAGCTAAACGTCCACAGAAACACATTAGACATGCATGAAACATGGCTGACCCTCCCTCCAGTCGTGGAAGCCAAGAGAAGAGTTTGGGAAGACTACCTTCCATGGGGAAAGCCCATTGTCCACTTCCATGATTGTTGCAAAGAAGGGAAAACCACAGAAACACATGTTGCTGTTGGTTTTCTTCTTTTCTTGTATCACTGTTCACACTAGTAGCTACTTTTAGCAACTGTCTGTTGAACTGTTTAAGCATCCTTATTCTGGCACACGCACATCCCCCATCCTGCAACAACGGTCACGAGGACTGCGAGCCTGAAATAGAAAGCTGACCGGTGATATGCGATGTGGCGTGAATGCTGTAGTCAATTCACTTCGATTCCACGAAACAACTTAATCTGCCAGTCTGGTCTTGCGATGTTTCTGGAGCCAGGCCGAATCGATAGCCTGCGGCACTCAAACCGCCTGCACCCCGCAACAGCAACCCAAGAGCACAGGACCTCTTGGCTTCCAGGTGCCTTTCCTCAAGCCGCGACGCTTGGCGACACCATCAGTTGCTTGTCCTTCCCCGTCTGAATACTGACCGAGCCAAAAACCAACATGCAATCCAACTGTTGGTCCGGTTTTTCGTTGGGTATTCCCGAAAAGTTGACAAGTTCTTCGTGTTGTTGCCAAGCCGGAATAAGATTCGAGCCCATTGCTTGATTCACCAACGTGGAACAAAGCGCGGGTGAACACACCAAACGGCCTCTGACCAATCATATACAACTAGCCAGTGCAGGTGAACGCGTTCGGCCGACAACATGATCCTCCAAAACACTGTAGGTACATGAGGGTATGCACACGTTGGCTATTTGGACATGCATAAAGCAAACAAACTACGGAGGGATCCCCAGGTTCCACCTGCTGACCGGATGCGGTCCAAGGAAACCTGCCCCCGCTCGCCCCCGGCGCAGTGCGTCCTCCAGCTGCTTTCGACCCAGCTTGGTGTGCAGGTTGTCATATTCTGGGCGCTTGCGCAAGCGAAAAACAGAGCTCAGAACATGTTGTGCTTCATGGCATATGGCTCGCAGGTCTGCTTGCTAGATAGTTGAAGCTGAAGTCAATATGTGTCGATTGAGTCCACGAGGGAGCCCCAAGCAAAATCGAGACAGCTACTTGCATTTGCGTGATTCCCGCCAGCAAGTTGCTGGGACATGGGATCAATGCCCCTGCCAAGTTGCATAGGTCCCCCTGAGTCGGGGTGTTCAAACAAATGAGCTCCCTTGGGATGCTACACACGTCCTGATCAATCGGAACCAATGCGTTAAACGAACCACCAGCTCGATGCCCCTGCCCCCTGACGGCCCCGGCGCAGGAAGTTCTCTGCTACACGCTGCAGGCAGATCTGCACCAGACTTCGTGGTCGGACCTTGACCTCGCCAAGGACTCCCCTCACCTCCCGGGGATCCCGAAGCAATCCGCCCGGGCCGAAGAAGGACCCGGTCAGTTCTCAAACACTTGGCTGGTTGAGCTCGCCTGGCGCCCCAATTCTCAAACCGGATCGAACAAGGAGGTCGTTTCGTGACCCCGGGTTCGGGTGGGAATTTGCCAAGCTTCAACTCAAGACAGAGTGACACATGGTCCAGCAACATCTGCGAGTTATGGACGTTGAACTGCCAACGACGATCCCCCATCTTCCATGTTAGTCCTCAAGGCGCCTTCTCCAGCGCCCGGAACCGGATGTGCTTGGGCTTCAGCATGACCCTAGCGCAACTGTCAAGACCTCTTTGGGTCCCTGGGTGCCTTGCGATGCACCTCATGACCCTTTGAGCCCTCAAGGGGCTTCTGGGTTAGTCACATCCTGAGAGGGTAAGGAATTTCCTGGGTTGGAGGCTTCTGGCTGGTTTGTCACAGGATGCCGTCAAGGCGACACCCTAGTTCAGCGAGAACCAAACTCATAGATGCGAAACGGGTCCAATAGTTGCAATGGGTTTGAGGGGTACAATTGATCCAGCTGGCGCCATGATCATAGGACAAGAATGTGCAACCTAGGGCCTAGTTAGAACGGGGTTGTGGTACTTCAAAATAGTTAGTCATGATTATGGAAGCCCTCCCACCAATTGACATGGAGGTTCGGGGGTGGTTTGAGCCATCTTCCTTTACCATGGAAAAAGGGTCCCTGTGAGGTTCCATGTTAGTTGGTGAGAGGGTACTACCCCCTGCATTGTTTTTGGGGAAGGAACCCCCTAAACGGGGGGGTGCATTTCCCAAAAGAAGTTCAAGGGGACCCACCTACTACCGACAGCTGGGGGAAATACTTCGCCTTTTCTATTCCCCAACTCACACCTTGCAGGCCCGCGCGGCCGGGCAAAGGCCCCCCCTTTGAGCCAGAGCCAGGCGAGGCGCGTAAAAAATCAAACTCCTCTGACCTGCTCAAATGGCAGGAAAAAAGCTGTAAACTTGTTCTGGGCGTCCGTAAAATCGTGACAACATCTGCCTCCAAAAGTGAAAAGTCAACCAACTGAACTGAACTGGTCAGTGGGGGTGGGGTGGGGGTGGGGCGGAGGTGGGGTGGGGGTGGGGGTGGGGTGGGGGTGGGGGTGGGGTGGGGGTGGGGGTGGGGTGGGGGTGGGGGTGGGGTGGGGGTGGTGTGGGGGTGGTGTGGGGGTGGGGTAGGGGTGGGGTGGGGGTGGGGAAACAAAGAGGATCAAAGAAAGAGGATTGACATCTCGTTGACTGGTTTAGCCGGTGTCATCTGCAATTACCTTAGGAGAACATAGCAACTCACCCATCCGAAATCCAGGAAAACCCTTGGCGAGGTTGCAAGAGTTGGCCCGGAAGTACAATTTGCAAACCAGAAAGAAGGCTCTCCTGAGAAAGATACCTTTGTGAGTGAAATTGCGTATTTTAGCTTGGGTAGCGTTTTTTACAAAGAATCGTCTTTGTATGTCTGAAATCATTTCATCCCGGTGGTCGCTTTGCAACCCGCGCAAGCGCGGTGACACTGTGTGAGGTGCTTCGATCTATATGAAAGCATGGCCCTAGAGCGACTGTCTGAAGTCGGAGTAACTCTACATCATGCAGCCGCTGGACTGCATTCTGAGTCTCCAAAGTGTCGTTTGAACGCGACAGCACGTGGCAGTTTCCGACAGTGTTAAGTAGCAATGCGCCGGCAATAATAGGCTTAAAGGATTTCTGTCAAGCTACACAACTGCACGGCAGGTTGGGAACCTTAGCCTCACCGTCGTCGGTTCTTGCCAAACTTTGGCTCAGCAATCAGCCCTGGTCCGTTTAAAGAAAGAAAGACCTAAACAAAAAAGTGCTTAACCAATGGTGGCATAAGCATGTAGGAGGTTGGCTGAAGCCACAGGAATAAACCGGATCCCAGGCCACGCTTGCGCGCCATTTTCGGAGGTAGTCATCAGACGCACGGAGGTGAGGCCCTCAACTCAGGCGGCGCAAAACGGCAAAACAAACACATGCGGTCACGTTGGGCCAACCACCTGAACATGTGATTCAAACTCCGATAATCAACAGTTAAAAAGCTTAATCCAGTGATCGCAACGCGTTAACTTGACAAGGCTCAAGCGAAAGTCCGCTCGAGCCTCTTTTGCAAGCAAACCTCAGTCCGAAAACCTGCATGATTGTTCCAGTCTAGTCATCTTTGCAACGCCCAGCTTTTCTCTGCTCTCCGCTTCTGACCCATTCTCTTCGCGTCGAATCACCCTCCGATCTCAGCTCCTTTCAGAGCTGAGAAAGGTCATCTGACTGACAGGGCTCCTTGACTACGAGATCCGAATCGTCCACTTGCTGAATACGAGAAATCTGATTGACCAATGGGCGAGTTGAAGACTTTTCAGGTCGGAGACCAAGAGGTCAATCGGCTTTTGCCGTTTTCTACTTGCCTCTCTGATGGCTTTCTCGTTGAAATACAAGGACTCCTGCCGGGATCATTGGCTTCTTCCCATGCAGTGATTCCAGCTACCGCTTTTGCAGAAAAGACAAATTTGTCGCTTGGGCGATATACGCTCGGTTTCTGCAACAGGTGACTGGATGCAGTGGGCACGGGCCTTTGGCTCTTTAAAAAGCCTGGCCCAACAAAAGGCGTACAAGGCGCGCAACGGGCACGCTGGGTAGTGCAGAGCTGCTGGATTTGCAGGAGCCAATCGGGAGTTTGCGCTTGGCATAGGGAGCATCGTTGACCCCGTATTAGTCAACCCCAGTTTATTGATAAGGGGTGCTCCACTCCAATAGTGATGATTCCCCACTAAACCGAGGACACCCCCTTACTACTAAACAGGGGTTGATTAATATGGGGTCAACATTACCCTGCAGACTAGTGACTAGTAACATGGAACCGAAAGAAACCTCAAGTTTCGAGGAGTCGCCTCTGGAACCCCACTGTCTCCACTTCAACCGGGATTTTAAAGAAAACAGTTGAGGCAACGGCAAACAAATTGCGATTTCGCAATTTGTCAAGGAGATCTCACACTACGAAGCGAATGAAATTGGCAATGTAAGCAGCATGATTGCACGGCAAGATGACACAGATCGCGAAACATCAATATTCCGGCCCCGTGGGAATGATGGCATGACAGCATCATCCAAATGAGGCACAAACGTTCATTGAAATTGCATATCTCCTACAGAGGATTTGGGACAGCTAGTGCGCCCCAATTTACTGAGTCCCCCATGTCCCCAACAATGTGCTCGCTGAAGACAGTCTCGGGAGCGCAGACCGCAACGGAAGAAGTACTCGCAAATCTAGCAAGACATGGACTCCGCATGGCATGGTCCTCGCTCTTGTGCACACAATCATGGAGACTTGGGACCGCAGGTCAAGCCCCGCAAATAGCACAAGTTGGAGACTTCTGGAAGAACGTTTCCCCCTTTCTCTAGCTCAACTTGCTCACAGCACCTCTGCATTCAAGCTGATCACTTCGCGGAGAAGGAGCTTGGTGGTGACCTCGTTCGAAAGCCAAGTGATTGCCAAGTACAAGAATGTTCACCCAGACTTCGAGCCCAAACAACAAAGTCTGCCAAGTCAAGCAAGGAGCTCCGTTTCCGATGTGCAACATGCGCCAAATGCGCGCTGACAGGATGTGCGGGCACAGCAGACTTCTCCAAGCTCAGGCTTCTCCCAGGACCGATCGACAAGGTACGAAGGTGTCTAACACAGCGACACCACGCATGTTCGTGCTTTTGGGCTTTGGTTGACTGCTTGTAGCTTGGAGCCACCCTGTTTTTCAACCAAGGAAGCATGGCGCCTTGTCTTCAACTTTCCTCAATTTGTGGAGTCAAATGCACCCCGGCACACACGCAAACACGCATGATTGTCCCTGCGAGCGATCGGAACCCGCTTGATAGAACCGCTCAAAATTTGGTCCTCTGACCGACGCGTTTTCCCACAGGTGGTCTGGTCAGCGTTTTGGATCAGGCTTCTTTTGGGATTTATTACTTCCACAGTCATACTGTGGATGGACGAAATCCTGCACCACTTTGAAACCATGGGAAACCATCTGTTGTTGTTATTTAAAGGAACATCCTCATTCCAGGGTTTCTTAGGTGCTGCAAGATTTCGTCCATCCACAGTAGCAACTGGAAGGCGCCTCCAGCTGAGATTGCTTTTCGTTGGAAGCTCCCAAGTTCCCTGCTGGGGACTTGGGCCACTTCCTGCAATCCTTGGTTCGGATCCCCGGCTCAGCACCCGAGCACCCGGCAGGGACCGCGGGAATGCACTTGACCGGGACCTGAGTCACTTTCGAACTCGGGGAGAAAAACCAATGCTTGCTGTACCCCAACTGTCGCCTGAATAATTTAGATTCCTGTTTTGTTGCATACTTCAAAACCAAACTTTGCAATGCAGTGAAGGTGGAATTCATATTTGGATACCGCAGAACTGATACGCCCTTTGTGATAATTCAAGACGGAGGCCAGGTGCCGCTGAATGTGTCCATCCCTCATCCTGTTATCACACCTCCAGTAGAGTTGGCACAGGACGGAGCAACCATACCTCAACAGTTCAATTTTTGGTATCTGGGTAGGCCCGCAAACGATCCAAACTGCAGCCTTGCCGCAAAAAATCCGAAAATCAGCAGTACCCAAGTACCCAAAAGGCCAAGCTGAAACCTTAAGTACCCAAACTGCAGCGTTGCTAACTCAAAGTACCCCAAGCCACAAATCGCCGAGTACTTTGAGTTCGGACCCCGGGCCCTGAGACCTTTTCGTGAGTCCATGTGGCGCCGTGCCCACATAGCGCCCGCTGGTGGTCGAAGCTCGTGGGCTGGCGGGGTCAAAATGGGGACCAAGCCTTGTGGGTGTCCCAAACAGCCGGTGTCCCTTTGAACCAGCCCCAAAAAAGGATGGCCACACAAGACGCAAACACGCAGACGCAAATGTGGAGAGCGCAGCCAGCAGGGATCAGTTTGGAGAAGGGCCTTCGCTTTTGGAACAACAACTCCCTCCATCAACTTGCGAGGTTTCTGCAGTTCTGCATCCTGGGGTCAACATGAATTTGTAGCGGGAAACGCCCGAGGATCGGTCAACAAAATCCAGGAGCCTATGATCAACTTGAGAAGGACATGGAGGATTCACTACATGTTCCACAAAAGCCAGGGGGATCCATTGACTTTCTCCATGTGTGTATGTGTGTGCGTAACGGGAGTGGGGTGCAAACCGCAACTTTTTGCTTTGAACATGCACGCATGCACGCACGCACGCACGCACGCACGCACGCACGCACCCACGCACACACACACACACACACACACACACACACACACACCCACACACACCCACGCACGCACGCACGCACACACACACACACACAATCTCCAAAGAGACAAATGGGAGGAAGTTGCTTGAAAACGTGGAGATGCTGCTCGTGAAGGCTAATCTTCGATATCGAAATTCCGCACCCACCTGGTTGTGGAAAACCATCGGTTTTGCAAGGACATCCCTTCCGCTTTTCACTCTGCTCACCCCTCTCATCCATACAGTATTTCGCTGGTACCCACACGCGGAAAATGTCTGTCCTTCCCTTTGTTGAATGTACGCCCCGTGCTTCCGTTAGGGGGTTGAAGCCTCAGCTTGCACAGAGCATGGGCCCCTTCAAATCGAAGGGAAGTCTTTGCCTGAAAGCCAGCAACATGGCTGCTTCCGCGAAAAGACTTTTGCCTTAATCAACATTTGAATGCCCAAGGAAGAAGCTGGCACTGGGCGAGTGTTTCCTGCTAATCGAGCAAAGTATTGGTTCGCGCTATCAACTTCTGCGTTGCACGCACGAGACTGTGGAAAAGTGTGCCCATCAGCAGAATTGCCCGTCAGTTTGGATCCAAGCCACCTGTCCAGGTGTGTTTAGTAAAAAAACAAAAACTGATCGCCTTTAAACATATACCAAGGGAAGATAAACCAAGAGTTGTTTCAGCCTTAAGCCTTCCAACTCCACAAGATTTCGGCCCCTTGAAGCAACTCTGCCCGGAAGGCCTTCCCCGCGGCGACCGAGGGATGTAGGAAAGACTCCTGGTGAGTCAATTACCGGGTTGCGCCATCTCGTTCTCGGAATGATTGTCGTGTTTGCGTGTCTCAAAACGGATGGCTTTCTCAAGATGAATGGTTTCCCGTTAAGGCTTACTTGTAAAGTCGCCCAAACATTGGGGATTCTTTAGCCCTTTCCCGGCAATTCAAACAGGCCTATGTGTGTGTGTGTGTGTACGTGTGTTGCCTTTTTTGAGAAGGGAAATCCAAAAGAAAGCCGATTCTGACACATACCCAAATGAATCCGCCTCCAAAGCTCTCCGAAAGCGGACGGATGATTCTCCCATCATCACTCACATGTGTGATTCACGGATCGGCACAGAAGCAGAACATGCAATCGTCTCGAAAGCCATTCTGGGACAACTTTGGGGGGCTCGGGAGCAAAAGAGCCGTCACATGTAGCAGGGATCCGGATGCATTCTACACCTGAACATTGCAACTTGTAAATGGTGGTTTCAATCCCTGAATTTTGGTGGAAAAAGCAATGTTTCAAATGGGCAAAATGTATCTTTTAAGGAGCCCTGTTACCGTAGACTCGAATCCCTGAAAAGTCCCAAAATTGGCGACCTAACTGGATGGAGAAACGGAAACAAACCGTATGAGGAGCCAAATCGTTTTTAGGAAACACGCACGTCAGCTTTCAATGCTGACCCCATGTGGTGTCAGCTTTGACTTCAAAACAATTGTTCAAGGAATCCCCTAAAAATCTCTGAAAGCTGACTTCTCGTTGGCTCCTGCGCCACCTGCTCCTGTAGTGACCGGGGATTGTCCTCAGAAGGCAATGGAAGAGAACTGCCCATGCATCTGCGACGGGTAGAGTCGGCAAGGACTACGGCCATGAAGTCACTACACCCTCAGCTTTGGCCCGTAACGGCAAGCTGGTCCATACTCTATGAAGCCGAAAGCCACGCGTCAAGGATACGTGTCAAGTCGCGAGGTGGTTAAGATTGGCATGTGGTAGCGATTCCTCCCTTTGCCGCGAGCTCTGACCAGCTGGAATGGAAAGGTGGGCCAAAGTGGAGCATGTGCGTGTCTACAAATCTGCGCAGAGCTGGCTTGCTTGGCCAAATCCCTGCGATCCTGAGCCGGGGGCAAAACCATTCTGAAAGGAATCACCGGAAAAACTCTGCGTCTTGCCCATGCAGAATTTATCAATCTTCCTGATGCTCAGTAGGGAATGAGGTACAGACCATCCAACTGATTTATGCCCGGCGCACCTCAGTTACCTTCACTTTCAATCCCGAAACGTTCCACTCTAAACCTCCCGGCCGGGCCCTACCCCCGCATCCAGTGGGAGCCATTCCGCTTCATCCAGTGGGAGTCCTGCACGCAACGTCGTGCAATTTCGACTTCACCGTGGGCCAAGATGGCCAATCAAAACCTACCTAGTGAAATGGTCAGGAAACACACCCGTGTCAAGAAACAGGGGCGGATCTCCACACCCACTGCTTGGGACTGGCCCCTTCGGTTTTGAGGATGCTGGGTCCCGGGCGCCAAAGCGGCTGGGGGACGCCACCGCCTGCGCGACCGGTTCCTTTTTGGAGGCCATAGAGATGTGTGGGCGTGGGTGTGGGCCCAAAGAGAACCCCCCCCTTCTCAAGTAATCTTGATAAGGGTCAGTCCCGGGTGAATTGTCACAACTCTGACCAACGAAAAGGATTCCAGGAAGCTCCTAATGTGCGAGGTCGCAAGACTAAACCCGTTGAGAGGCCCGTAGGATTCAGCTTCTGTGGTTGAGGTGCGGCGCCCGACCAAAAGCGCCGGTTCGCCCGTCTCAAACTGGGGAACACACAGCGCTTTTTTGGCGGCTAAGGAAATCGGAAGGACTCCCATCAGCTGCTGGAATCCCTAATTTGGGGAGAGCCAACAAACAAACAAACAAACAAACAAACAAAGAAGTTTAAACAAACAAAGAAACAAACAAACAAGCAAAGAAACAAAGAAACGATGAAATTGCTGGAATTCACATGCTTGCAATAAGGAATCCCCCGGCCGCCTTCCTCATAGGGTGATTGTCTTTCGAATCCAAAACCATTTGTGAGGTTGCCAATTGCAATTTCTCCGGTATATCTTGGGGCACTTGTAACTAGGGGAACGCAACACCACCACCATACCCAGTGGATCCAGGAAAAAAACAACCAATACCAGCATACCCAGGAAAAAACACACACACAATCCAATCCCAATGCAAAGAACGGGACCGATCAACCCCGTGCGCCGGTCAAAACGCTTCTGGCGCTTCTTTTCGGGCCCGCCTGCGCGGTCTTTGGCTTGGAGCCCAACCTGTCGCACGGACACATGAAGTCAACAGGGTACGATCCCACCTTGGCATACTTTCGGAAGTGTGCAGCTTACAAGGCACTCCTCACTTCCTGAGTGGATTGGCCAACAAAGTGTGAACTTTTCATCTACCACTAAAATGGGTCTCCCCATTCCATTCCATTCCATTCCATGCGCACAGAGTTCTGTCGAACGCAGCGATTGCATTAATTAAGCACATGCTTTCATGTGCCCACCCCAGCCGCATAGTCCGGCCCAATTTCTTGTGCCAGCGGCATGTTGGCATACTCAGTGAGCATGCTTTGGGAGGGAATCTCAGCAACATCAGGTTGCGTGGCTTCCCTTAGCTGAGCACTGACCAAGAAGCATTTGGCACATGCTTTGCACAAGAGAGGAGGGTATTCCTTCAACCGGGATGTGCAAAAAGCTTCCCCATTGTGGCCAATGGATCTTTCCTTTGCCGGCCACTGACTTCGGGGCAGCTTGGTGGATTCGAGGATTCGCTCCCAACCTGGCAGGTGGGTCACCAGCAGGTCAGTCGGCTTTTCGGCTGTCTGGCCCCACTGACGCTGATGTATTCGCCCCTTTTCGACCCCAGGAAGGGTGCACAGCCAGCTCACCTGAGCAAGCCTCCATATGGAAGGAAGGCGTGATTCCGAGGGCTCACCAGGATGCTCTGTAATGGTCACTCCACAACATGCGTACAGGTGTGCAACAACAAGCAATGCAGTTTGCAGGAGTTTGTTGCTAATCTGTAGTTGCTTGTACTCCTTGGAACGCAGGGAGGGGAGTCCCCATGCCTGATGGGCACTCCTGAGTGGACGTGGCGCATTGGGCTTATCTGCTATCTTCACCTCCCTGGCACGTGACCATGTTTCACATGGCGGTCCTGCCTGTGCACCGAGAATGTGGCCACTACGGATGAGTGCAAGGATTTTTGCAACCAACTCATCAGAAGCAAGGTTACATAACTTTGCATTATGGACAACATCAAGGCAAATGACAAAGATGCGAAATGACTGCCCTATACTCATTTCTTCAAGATGACGGCGCATGCTACCCTCACGGTCTCTGCCAGAGAAGAGGTGAAGCACAAAATATGTACGAACCCCTTGGAAATTCATGGCCAGAGGATGTACCACGGGCGCCTGGGCAGTGAACCTGGTACTAGCGCTTTCATCTTGTGCAGTCATCACATCGATTTGATGAACAGAGGTGTTGGGCGTGTGTCCTGCCTTGCGCAGGTTCCTGCCCGGCATGTTGGGATTGCGTGTGTCCCGGCGTGCTCGCAGGGCCGGTGCCGCCCTCCAGAAGAGATCGATCTCTTCTGGGGAGTAGTCTTTGGCATTACTCTGCCTCCACTCAAGCTTGTTGGGGAGTCTCGGACCTTCCAGGAGGATGCAAGGGATCCTCTTGTGTCCTTTGAATCTGCTATCAAGCTTGATGTGAACCGGGGGCCCTGGAAGCGGCTCTAGATTCTGCAAGCAGAATTGCATGCAGCGAGGGTTCTCCCGGAGATGAACATTGACCCGATGGGATGTGTGAAATTCAACGAGACAAACAACACAGTGGGAGGCATATGTGTATGCACGTGTCTCTGAAGAAATTTGGTGGGCATGCCACTGATGGGCCGAGAGCCCCTGTCGGGTGGAGTACTCATTGCCGCACAAGTCACATCTGTGACCAAGTGGGCATGTCGGCGCGTCGGGTTGCCTACGCTCAACCTGCAAACCTATCTGCCCAATTGCACCATCAAAATTTTCACGCCAGTGTTCTAGGTCAGCAAGCAAGGTCAATTGTGTGACAGCGGCTTGGCAAGCCTTGATTGTGTCCCTATTCCACGCATTGCTACTCTTAGCAACATAGGTGAACAACTGGACCCAAGTATAGGTGGTTGACAAGCCAGTAAAGGCATCAGGCATGACTTCTCTTACAGCTTCGATGTCGTGTTGAACAAGGGTCAACCAGGCACGCGACTCATTGACTTTGTACTCACTCAACAGAAGCTGACTCAAGAAGGCAGGGGCACCAGTTTGAAGGTGAACAAGATACCGCAATCTCATTTTACGCATCTGCCACTCAAGAGACGGACATCTGGCTTTGGCGAGGACATACAGGATTGAATGTTTTTGTCCATACTGTGTGACACACAAACCTGTGGCGGCCCTGAGAGCTTTCATGTAAAGCCATTGATGGCCTTCGCAGAGCCACCATCAAGCACTCCCCATGCCTGTGCGCCATAAAGGAGTTTACTGAAGACCGTGGCTTCAACAAAGGTGACTTTTGCAGTGACCGAAATTCCTTTGTTTCTGAAGACTCCAATCTTCAATTGGTGCAAGGCCTGGGCAGCTAGTGCTACACGTCTCCGTGTTTCTTCACGCAATGTGGCATCTGGCGCGACCAACCCTCCCAAATGACAGTATGAAGGCACAACTGACAAGTTGACACTGCTCCCATCATTTTTGGCAACTTGCAGCACCGATGAATTTTCAACAAGGAGTCTTCTGCGGGCTGTCTTCGCTTTGGGACCTGCGAACTGAATCAAGGCTTCAGTCTTACCTTTATCCATGCTGATAGAAAGACCTACACTTTGAAATGCAGCCTCAGTTATGTTGACAGCTCTGGCTAGTTTGTCAAGCACTTCATCTTCGGAGGAGGCTTCAATGCAAGCAACCACATCATCTACCCAGGTGAGGGTGGGAAATGCTTCAGGGGCAACTTGAGGCGGGAGGTGAATGTCAGTGCATAGATCCCACATCTCAAAATCGGCTTGTATGTCATTCACAGCTGCAGCCACAGCCACATTGAAAAGCGCATCAGCCAGGGGTGTTCCTGGACGAGACCCCTGGCAACTACTTGCAATCTGGCCAGTGAGCATATCTCGCATCCATGTGGCATTTTGGCCATCCTTGAGCTGCTGCAGTAGTACTTTGGATATGCCATTCAGGACTTCGGGATGCTCACTGCTATGCAAGCTGGCATACTGTTCATGCACGGACGGGTCCAGGGTCTCAAGCAGCGAGGCAAACTGATCACTTGTGCGATGAGATCCTACAGCAGCTTCTCGTATGACTTTGTAAAAGGCAGATTTGACATCGAGGAACAACACCGCACAACATTTATGCTTTATGTTACCAATCTGCAGAAAGGTGCGCACTGCATGAGATGCAAAGCATGGCTGGCTGCCCTGCTTTCCGCCAAGCTGGGCCACTGGCATTCGGTTGCCAATTTGCTGCATTAGCTGATGTCTCTGGATAGCTTGGTGACATTTTGATGCAGTAGTGGACAGCAAAACACTTCGATAGCTGGTGATCTGGTCCTTGGGTCCTTTGGATTTCCAAAGCGACACTAAAGTACCACCCCGAAAAGTGAGAGGCTGATGGGCATATATGCTGGCCTCCAACATCAGGGGAAACCATAAGTGGGCTGCCTCAACATTGGCAATCGAGAAGAGCTCAGATACAAGCAGGTCCTCGCCTGGGGCTTTACCTGATTTGACACGAGCCATTGCGGTTTCAAGGTGTACTTTGGTATACAAGTCATCAAGTGCAATGGGGCCACTTGTTGTGAGCAAGTCTTGCGAGGTCTGGCATTGCTGGACTAGTTCCTCAGGTTGAACAACTTTCCCACTTTCAATTTCCGCAAAGTACTCAAGGGCCTGATCTGACACTGCAGCAATTGGCATTGCTTTGCGGTTCTTCATCTGTTTGGACTTAGGAAGCAAGGGTCGCATCTCCTTCCATAGGTCGTTCATGCCACCGTGGCTTTCGGCATCGCGAGCATTGGCAGCAATGCGCTCGGCATATTCAGCTCGGCAGGTCTGCATTGCTTGGTGCAATGCCTGGCGCACTTGCTTGAGCTGCTTCATCTGAATGGCAATCCTATGGTGTATCTGCTTAATTGCACAGGATGCAGGCGAGGGCGTGGTTACATCCTTCCATGCCTGAAAGCAGCACACAATGTACAGATAACGTTCCTGAAGAAATGAGCGGTTGGTGCATCTTTGGATGCGTCGCTTTTCATGCAAGAGGTCAATTGCAATCTGACTTAGATACGGTCTTACTTTACTCTTCTGCTTGGGCAGCGAGTGGGTGGCTTGCTCCTTCATGCCTTGCTCTATGGTAAAGGCATGTTGGTGCACATTCTGTGTGAAGCAGCTCTCGGCACAAGGGACACTAGCCGGAACAGCGCGGAGGGCTTTGCGCCACACTTGCACGTCATCAGAGCAGGCCGGGATTGGCCTCCTGTATGGCAGTGCTTGCCTTGGCTTGTCCTCACACCTATGGGGGACACTGGTGTATTGACACTGCAATGTAACAGCCTGGTGATCAGGTCTGTTAATCTGTAAGTCAATCTGCATCTCAACACTGGATTGCATCTGAGCGTAATGCAGGTACGACCTGGGAACAGCAACATAGTCAATCCTGTGCTGGGTCAGCTTCGGACTTGTGAATGTGTAGGGTGTACCTTGATGGAGTCCCTCAAAGGTTGAAGGCAAGCACAGGCCGAGGCGTTGTACTACTTCTGAAAAAGCAACACCACTGGGGGATGTGGGTTGGCCTTGATATGATCCTATCACTCCATGCTGCTCGGGCATCACATGATCTCCAAGTGTGGCATTGGCATCGGCAAGCAACACTATGTGCCTTGGATCAGGCCTGCACAGGCTTGACCAGCAAGGACATCAACTGCTTCATTGAAGGGTTCACCTGAATGCGCTTTAACATGGATGTATTCTGCCATTCTCCAGTTTTCAAGCAGTTGAAACAGACTACGAGCAGTACTGCCAAGCGCATGCTTGCTGGTGGTACGTGATCTACCTTGACACATTCTTCCAGCTTCATTGGAGTCATGTCGAAATGTGATTTCAATTTCAGGACTGAAGTGAGCCACAAATTGAATTGCCCACAGACATGCACACATTAGACCTTCAAGTTCAACTGGAAATGCACTATCGGGTTGATTGGTGTGGCCAGCAATGCGTCCTCCCCACACTCGACTTTGATCCGGCATGTTCCACAACATTACAACAGCCCAAGATCCTTTGCCCCAGATTTCATCCTCGACTGGATCTCTGAATGTACCATCAGTGTAGAACGTGACACCAATGGGTTCCTGGTCCAGACACGTTCTGAGGTATGTGAACTCCTCTACAGTGGAGTGATGCCACGGAATATTTTCTGTGTCAAGGGAAATGATGTGATTGGGCCATGGATCAAGAACTTGAGTGGTGAGTTGTAGTACATTGTCTACATTGGTCCTATTCAAGATGTCCTCGGTGGGTGTGTGATCAACATGGTCGGCCGGCCTGCTTCCTGCACTCGGTGTGAAATGGACTGGTGCGGGAATGTGTCCCTATGTGGACCTGCATGTGGGGTCTGGATGGTCCCCTGCAAGGGCTTGCTGGAGCACATGGTCGCGGGCACACTGTGCTGGAAGGGCAATGGGCCAATGGTGATCCGATGCGGGGCTCCAGGTGAGTGCTTGTGATGATTCTGCAACAGTGCCGGAACAAGCATGTGGTGTCTCATCCACTGGAAGTGGTGAGGAGACCAGGCCAGGTAGGCATCAATGGTCTCGCTTTTGTCAACTCCCCATCCCAACGTTGTCGGTTCTGGGGCAATCTTCACGTACCTGACATCTTCCGTGTTGGTGACATGCTCCAGAATGGACTGAAACAGTACATCTTCGCAGGCATTAGGCACAAGGACACGCTGGGGGCGAGTAGATTGAGCATCGGCTCTCCATAGGTGGATGGTCCTCATGCTGTCACTGGAGCTTGGGTTCGGCACACGGCTGCGGCTTTTGAGACACGACTGCAATTTGGCATTGCTTGGTACCTCCTGTCTCTTTTTATTTAGGGGTGCTTTGGGATGAAAAAACAGGGTTTCAGGATTGGTGTTAAATCTCACAGTTACAGCGGCATTTTCTTTGTGCTTCTCACGGGTGCTGTCAACTGGACAATTTCCAGGTCTATGGGTATTCCTGAGTGATGCTTCCTGGATGGCATCACTCATAAGGCACACTATCCCTGCTTCTCATCCTCATCTTCTTCCTCATCTCCATTCTTCTGCAGCGATGCGTAGCGGCTGTGGCTGGCAGATCTGCTGCGCTCACGCTTGTGGGGCTCGGCATTCTGCTTGAACTGGAGTGGGGACTGCTTGATCTTTTCGTCGGCTTTTGGTTTCTTCTTCCGAGGCTCCTTGGGACCCCGATCCTTGGCTTTTTTGCTTTTGTTCTGTTTGTCCTCAAGCTGTGTTGGCTTGTCTGGTGCTTCTGCTGGTGTGACAGGCTCTATAGGGTCATCATCCTGGTCCTCTGGAACTTCCATGAGCGTAGGTGCTGGCGGTAGTTGGAGGCCTGGAAGCTCGGATAGAGCTGTGCTGTCCTGTGATGGAAGCTTATCATCTCTGGTTTCAATCTGTGCAGCTAGGGAGTGCAGTTGGCTTGTGGCGCTTTTTTCATCATCCATGGCTTTGTTGAGCACCTCAGTCCACTGTTGCTTGCTTGAGCTGTATGCCTGGCACTGTTCTTTGTATCGAGCATTAATGCTGGTCTCAAAGGCAGTCCATGACTCATCAAGGGCGTGGAGTGCATCTCTTGCCTTGGTTGCATTGCGCTGTGCTTTTGCTAGCTGTCTTCCTGCTTTGTGCACTTGTGATGGAACCGGTTTCTCATCTTCATCTTGTGCTAAGATGGCTGTGATGCTTTCTGCAGTACTTTTGCCGTATGTTTGCTTGATGGCCTCGAGCAGCTTGGTTTTGTCGGTCTGCAGGGTTGTCTCCTTGACTGGTGTCATGTCAGGCTTGACTGGCTTCTGCTGTAGGTCCGACTTGAAATCCTCCTTGGCTGCACTGGTGACATCCTCCCAGCTGGTGGTCGTCACAGGACTGTCACATCCTGTGTTGCCATGCTGGGATTGATGCGTGGCAGTTGGGGATCTGGCTCGATGGCTTGCATTGCTTTGTGGTGGCTTGGGAAACGCAGGGTTCTCTGGTTCCTTCTCACTGCGTTGCTCGTTGCTGGTTGCTGAAGGGCTTCGGCTTTTGCCTTTCCCGGTCTCCCCAAACAGTTTAAAGTCCACGAACTCACGGAGTTAGACTCCTTTCCGTGCAGTCTCGGTATGTCTCACATCCAACGCATGGCAGGTGCGTGAAGCCAGCTGACATGCCAGCCATGAAGTCTGAGGAGCAAATCTTGGTGGCTTAACCAGTACTAGAGGAAGCCCCGAGATTCTGCGTTTGTGAGAAGGCTACTGTGTTGACTGCCGATTGCTAGCCTTGGTGTTGGAACAATTACCTGGCATAGGGAACCACCGTAAGACTACTTCCACTGCCTTGCAACTTCGGTCAGCTTCGGTTCCCTTCGCCTCACGCCGCTCGTCAAACTGATTCAAGCTCCGAATCGAGGCAGGGGGAGTGAGCCACCATCGGCTAGGATTTGTCCGTTGAAAATCCGCTTGTGTTTGTCAAGTTTCAGCTTGTGTCACGACTAGCCATTTCAGAATTCAGCAAGCTTAGTCATTGACTTGAGAAGTTTGTCTTCCTCGCCTCCTCTATCCGTTTGCTCGATGGTTTGCAAAGATTAGCTGGGGGTTCTGTTGGGACTATCCACAAATATATGGCACAGGCTCTTCAAATGTCCACCAACGGAAGCTAGTGCCCTTTCATTGTGGGTATGATGGTTACTTGGCGAACATCATTTGCGGGAGTTGTGTCCACCAACCATTTGGGGCAGTGTTCCAACCATTCAAGGATAGCCTATTTAGGGAGCGGTGTCTTCACTCAGCTGCTCAGTGGCCATGGGGAAAAAAAGGGCATCCTTTGTTGGTAAACCCCTTCCCAAAAAAGGTTGGATAAAGCACTGGGAATTGAATTCACCATGGTGCGAGCCAGCCAAGCAGTTGACCTTTTTCCCTTCCGAGTCACCAAAAACACAAAGCAGGCGATCGATCCGCCCCGGCAGGCCTCGGCTCGCCTGGCAGAGGTCGCCCACTGGGGGGCAGATGCTGGGTTGACGTTGGTAGGGGAGCAAAAATTCTCAAATTTTAGCAGTTAAGTGGTTGCACCTGAGGGCCATGCCGATGGGTTGAGGGTATTCTCGGGGCGTCTTTTCAAGAAAATTCCAAGGGGACCTATCCTCGTTTCGTTGAAGCAGCAAAATTCCATCGACCCCCCGTCTGTCGGGGAATTCGTGGAACTTATCGTAAAAAATCGTCAACTGGTTTTGGGCGCTGCTCCTTTCGGTTTCCCTTTAAAGGGTTCCATTGCCTAAGAGCCGCTGAGCGGCTCAAGTGTCGTTGAAGTCTCTTTGCACCGATTTCTCCCTAGACAATTCACACCCCGGGAAGGAACGCCTCATCCCCCCCGCCCTTGCCAAAGCAAGTTAAACGTCTGCAACCACAACCGCGCCATAGGGCTCCCACTTCCTTTCATCACCCCACACAAACACCCACCTTAGATTGGCCTAACGGGTTCGGACGGAGAAACCTTGTTTCCCCAAGAGGGCATGGCGAAATTCGGCCCCGCGGATCTTTGCCAGCTATTTGGGTGGGCCCCCCACCTCACCTCCTGCTAAGCTGCCATCCTGTAAGTTGCAAGCGCCTCCTACCAATGTCTTGCTTGGTACCCAAAACATTGTACTGTTTTCCCTGTTGCCCCCTCACCGCGCACACACACACACATTGCCTGTAGGTCAGGCCTCGCGACTCGCGTTCTTCGTGGCTTGCCTCCCGGCCTGAGGCGCAACGGTTTCGTGTCCGAGAACTCCTTGCTGGAAATTCCCCGATGGAACCCAAATGGACCCCAAGTTTGGAGTTTGAGGCCAAGCCTTCCGTCCGGATGGCTTCGGAACCCTGAGTAATAAGAAGATGTTGTATGTTAAATTTGAGAAAGTGTCTAAAATACAGTAGTAAAAATGTGTATATGTATATGTCTATGTATATATTATTGTATAGGATGCTTAAAATGGTTGGTGGTCACATATATCCAGAGCCAGTAAGGCTTTTCGGTGATATACCAAACAAACTCAAGAATACCGCCCGCAAAGAATAAGACAAGTAGCACATCTGCGTGGCAAAAACAAACAAACTTGGCATATATTCACAGCACCTATGTTCTAAGCGGTCAACAAAACCAGTCTTGGCCTTCGGCGCCTCCGCGGGCCGAAACGAGGCGAAACGAGGCCGCGGCGCGAGGCCTTTGCTTTGGGCACCTCACTGCAACTCGGTGGAAGTTCCAACGAGCTGCGTATCCTCAAAGATAGATAAAAACTATACATATATACATACATAAATACATACATACATATGCATTTAACGTACATAATATATATATATATATATTTATTTACCCGAAGAGTAGCCAAGAAAAACCACCCTTTTAACCTGAGAGGAACATGGCTGGTGATAACTAAACTTCGTGATGCCCAAACGATCTGGAGATGTGGGGGCTTGAACTCCCTATAGTGGTGCGCGGAGCGGCATGGGCCACTGATGAAGCCATTGCACAGTTGCTGGGACCCCAAACGAGAGACTTAGCCCGTCCGCTGCGGTTCTGTTCTGGTGGTGAATGACTGTTCCACAATTTGGCTGTGGGTCAAAAACGCGTACCGAAAATGGAACCCTGGTAAATGGAACCAAAGACTCAAACATGCGGTCCGCTTGTGGTTTTGTTTTGACCCATACCCATTTATTGACCCACTCAACTCGAGGCTGGAGGCAGGCATCTCCGAATCCGCGCTGTGAGGGCGTGCAGCGGCCATCGAACGTCCGCTTTTCATCTTTGCGCTGCGCGACAGGGGTTGGGACACGGAGCATGCAGTTCAGGAAAGCCTCTTCGGTTTGACCGCTGCACAATGGTCGAACGCCCGACTTTCAAATAGCAGTTGTTGCCGTGGTCTGCCAACTTGGCCTTGGCCCCGACGAATGACCAGTTGTGCACTTGCGGAGGATTGTTCGATGAGAAAGTGAGCCGCGCTCCAGTGCGGTGCCCAAATATTGACGTACTGCCGTTCTGATCATTCTGCCTCAATTGGCATCAGGTCAACTACAGCTAGCTGCCGCTTTCGAACCCGGAGACATTTTACCTGTAGATTTCAAAGCTGACACATTTCGGCAAATTACTCCTGAAAATGATTTTTGAAACTAAGTGGCAGACAACAAACCCATCAGGTTCCACATTCAGGCCCCACGCCACTGACCCGCCCTCCAGGTGTGTCTAACCTACATCTGAGTGTGTTTGTGTGTGTGTGTTTGGGCGTGGCTTACTGGGTAAGCGTGCTTAAGCGCATGCATCACTTGGAGAAAGCTGAGGTGCTTTAGGCAATTCCGGGCCGAACGCACTCGCACAAAGAAAGCCAAGCCTCTGGCAATGCCCAACAGCCAGAACGAAAAATGCAAGGGAGATAGTCCTAAGGAGATATGGAAGATAGTCCCAAGCCATAGCCCGAACAGCAACATCTAAGTAACGCAAGGGAGTTAGTCCCACCTAAAGCAACCGGCCAACGCGAGCCGCCCCGGACTACAACTGAGTTGCACACTCTGCGCGCGCTGGCAGACCTGAAGGCATCGCTCTCTGAGACGTGGCGATGGACATCTTCAATAGGTGAGCTACAACCTAATATACTGTGAATGGACACAATCCTGCACCAATTTGTAGATTACTTGGATATTCACCGATCATCATGAGTTCCCTTCAATACTGACCGGGAGAAAACATGTGGAAGAACTGCTCAACCACTCAAAGACAAACGTTTGAACCAATTAGCGTGTCTCAACTCACAAATAGGGCCCTTGTTTTTTTGGACCATAGACCAAGCAGTATATGTTGACCAAAAATGGAAGAAAACACCACGCACCCAACATAAACTGGTGGTACCAATCTGTTGTTGTTGTTGTTGTTGTTGTTGTTGTTGTTGTTGTTGTTGTTGTTGTTGTTGTTGTTGTTGTTGTTGTTGTTCTTGTCCTTGTTGTTGTTCTTGTTCTTGTTATTGTTCTTGTGATTGTTCTTGTTCTTGTTTTTTGATGTTGATGTTGTTGTTGGTATTGTTGTTGTTGTTGGTGTTGGTGGTGGTGTGGTTGGTGTTGGTGTTGGTGTTGGTGTTGGTGTTGGTGTTGGTGTTGGTGTTGGTGTTGGTGTTGTTGTTGCTGCTGCTGTTGATGTTATTGCTGTTATTGTTGTTATCGTTGCTCTTGTTGTTCTTGTTGTTCTTGTAACTTTTGTTGTTCTTGTTGTGATTCTTGCTCTTGTTGCTCTTGTTGCCCATATTGTTGCTCTTGTTGTTATTGCTGTTATTGTTGTTCTTGTTGTTCTTGTTGTTATTGTTGTTATTGTTGTTCTTGTTGTTCGTGCTGTTCGTGTTGTTCTTGTTGTTGTTCTTCTTGTTGTTCTTGTTGTGCACGTTGTTCTTGTTGTTATTGTTATTGTTGTTCTTGTTGTTCGTGTTGTTCTAGTTGTTATTATTGCTGTTCTTGCTCTTCTTGTTGTTCTTGTTGTTCTTGTTGTTCTTCTTGTTGTTCGTGTTGTTCTTGTTGCTCTTATTGCTGTTCTTGTTGGTATTGTTGTTTTTCATATTGTCGTTCTGCTTGTTGTTGTTGTTGTTATTCTTGTTGGTTTTGTTGTTCTTGTTGTTCGCGTTGTTGTTGCTGCTGCTGTTGTTGTTGTTGTTGCTGCTGTTGTTGTTGTTGTTGTTGTTGTTGTTGTTGTTGTTGTCGTTGTTGTTGTTGTTGTTGTCGTTGTTGTTCCTGTTGTTGTTGTTGTTGTCGTTGTCGTCGTTGTCGTTGTCGTTGTCATTGTCGCTGTCGTCGTTGTCGTTGTCGTTGTCGTTGTCGTGGTCGTGGTCGTGGTCGTTGTCGTTATCGTTATCGTTGTCGTTGTCGTTGTCGTTGTTGTTGCTGTTGTTGTTGTTGTTGTTGTTGTTGTTGTTGTTGTGTGGTGTTGGTGTTGGTGGTGGTGGTGGTGTTGGTGTTGGTGTTGGTGTTTGTGTTGGTGTTTGTGTTGGTGTTGGTTGTTGTTGTTCTAGTTGTTATTATTGCTGTTCTTACTGTTCTTGTTGTTCTTGTTGCTCTTGTTGTTCTTCTTGTTGTTCGTGTTGTTCTTGTTGCTCTTATTGCTGTTATTGTTGTTATTGTTGTTGTTCAGATTGTCGTTCTGCTTGTTGTTGTTGTTGTTCTTCTTGTTGGTTTGTTGTTCGCGTTGTTGTTGTTGCTGCTGCTGTTGTTGTTGTTGTTGTTGTTGCTGTTGTTGCTGCTGTTGTTGTTGTTGTTGTTCCTGTTGTGGTTGTTGTTGTTGTTGTCGCTGTCGCTGTCGTCGTTGTCGTTGTCGTTGTCGTGGTCGTGGTCGTTGTCGTTGTCGTGGTCGTGGTCGTGGTCGTGGTCGTTGTCGTTGTCGTTGTCGTTGTCGTTGTCGTTGTTGTTGCTGTTGTTGTTGTTGTTGTTGTTGTT